CGACCGTGTTCATTTTTCAACACCATCAACCTCCAGTAAAATGTCCCAGCTCATCCCAGGCACAGCAACCCTTCAAATGTTTGGAGATCATGGGGGCGTCACACGCGCTGTAGCAATTTTCCCCGATAGACGATGAATGGTCATAGGCTCGTACAACAAGACGCTTCACCTACGGGACTTAAAGACAGGTACAGTGTTGAAGAAGATGGAGGGGCATCGTAGTCAGGTGTTGACATTGGCAGCATCAAGTGACGGGCAAGCGGTGATGCGAACGGAGAGTTCATTGCCTAGCACAGAGAAACTGGGGAACCCATAATAGCCCAACCCATCAAAGCCCACACCGATCGGATCGCGGATCTCATCGCTGGACTGTTCTCCCGATGGAACAATGCTAACCACTGGTTCAAAAGACGTCGACCAAATGACGAAACTCTGGAGCACGAAAATGTGGAAGCCTCGAGGGATTCCGATCCTTAGTTGTTATACAAGATACCTGACTATGCTGTCCTGCCTTCGTGAATGCAAATCTCAGACATATTGAGGACAGACAGAATGAGCACTGTGCAGGCTTGCGCGTGAAGCGGCGTGATAATTCAAAACGTTCAAGTGTTGACGCGTACACAATACCAAATAATTGCCAAATAACCTTAAGTCGGAGTCCCCCTCACTGCATCACCCACCAACGCACATCAAACACTGGAGCGTCGTTGCACAATGGCGCTGGAACACAAGAAATACCGACCACGGTGACCATGAGGGCGAAGTCTGTGGCATCTGTTGTGTCGATGTTGTCCATTCTGTCTCGTTTTTCTCGTTGTTTGATGTTCATTGTGTTTTTGCCCTTATGCTGTATTTATTTATACAGTCCAAGAAAGTACTAACAATCATACCTCCATACTTCACCCACATTTACATCGAACCCCCCTATCGGAACAGTTTGGGGCGAATGCAGTCACGTCTTCAACGTGCACTCCTTGCTCAAATGGCTTGGAACGGCCGCTTCGAAACACCAATGTCCCATGGACAGACGCGCTTAGGGTGCGTGATAGATTTTTTCGTCTTTGAGGCTTTTTGCTGGTGGTTTTGTATTTTGGGGGCGGCGTTTAGTTACTGCTGAACGGGAAGGCGAATGTCTTTGTGTTAGCGGTATGATCCGTCTTCGAGCTAGTAGCGGATCTGTCTCCGAGCTAACAGTTTGATATTGGCAATTTTATAACGTCGATTGCTGTTGACGTTCTTGATTGCGATTGCGGCCGTGCGTGGATCGCGCTTTACAACGTGCATCCTGGGCTGTAGCACTAACTGTATCGATGCTCGGACACATCCATTTACTGCACTGCTCGCATCTCCCACGAACTGGTTGTGTCGATGTCAGACAAACGCGACTAGTCACGCACGTAAAGCACCGCGATATATTTCAGATTCGAATATGCAATACTATTACAAGGCGCAGGGCTCATCTATTCATCGCGAGCGCCGGCACGATTCACCATCGGTACGCAAGCTTAATCTCCTCACCAATGATCGGCGTCGGCGGTCTCTGAGCCGGGCATGGCTTGTGCACTAAGACTGACAGCTGTCAATGCCAGGAGAATGATCGTCAAGAGATTCATTTAGATCATCAGTGTCACAAGTCAGATCTACAGGTTGATGAATTAACCCTTGCCCTCAAAACGTGCGAGTCTAGTGTCTAGCTAATGCGAGGGTTTGTTTTTCGTTTGTTTTTCGTCAGTTCTGTGCCGCGCTTTATAGCTGTTGCTCGTTAAAAATTAATCCGTAAGTTCGAAACCAGCATCCACGCCTGCCAATTATGAGAACTCTTGATCACGAAAAACACAGAGGTAGAGGCTTAACCAAGAGTCAGCCGAGTGTGCAGTCACGGTAAGCTCGGGGATAAAACTGGGCCGCAGAACGGAGCTGGAAAATTCGGTATCGTGGGCAACGAGGATAGGAAATGTTCAAAGCACTCCGATTCAGGCGAAACAGGCCCCTCCCTTGTGGGGCAAACGGCCGCATGAACATCAAACTGAATTGATTGAATCAGGATTGAATCAGAATCTTCAAAGTGGTATCTAGTATCATTGGTGTCCACGTCGGAGAGTGGGGGAACAAATGCTCTAGTCGAGTTCCTTCATGATATCAGTAAGCTCATTTGTACTATTGTACCATGCACCGAACTCGCTCATGTCGTGGTTCTAAGTCAATATCGCGTTTCCGAGACCCATAGTACATTCGTGTTTAATCACTGACATTTCCTACTCCCTCTTTCCAGCACTTCCCCATACTGCTACACCTCAACCTCCTCCGTCATTGCGGTCATCAATCACAACAGTACTGATATGACAGGGCACTGCCTGAACCGCAAGCTCTCATGTCCGCGGTATCTCCCGGACACGTTTCCCCACACGCCAGCCAAGTGCATGAGATGGAGTCGGTGGTCTGTAGGCTGGGCATGGCTCGTGCATCAAGATGACTGACAGCTGTTAATGCCAGGAGAATGATCGTCAAGAGATTCATCTAGATCATCAGTGTCATAAGTCGGATCACAGGTTGGTTGGTGAGTTGACCCTTACCGTCAAAAAGTGTGAGTCTAGTGTCAAGCTAAAGCGCGGGTCTGTTTTTCGTTCGTTGTTTGTCAGGAGTCTGTGCTCGCGCACGTTATAGCTACAGCTAGATATTATTTAATCCGTAAATTCGAAAACAAAATTCACGCCAGCCTATCATGAGAATGCGGACTCTTGATCGTGAAAAACACAATGGTAGAGGCTTAACCGAGTGACAGCTGATGTCGGAGTAAGCTCAGGAATAAAATTGGGCCGCAAGCGCACGAAGCTGGAAAAACCCACTGCCTGAAGGTAGTGTTGTGGGCAACAGCGAAGGATAATAAGGATGCCGATTCAAGCGGATCAGAGTCGGGGTCCAGACACTTCGTCAACCTCCGACGGCCACATAAACATGAAATGGAATTGATTCAGAACATGATTGTATATGGCATTATGATTGGTATCCACTGATCGGAGAGTGGAGGAACACATTTTCCAGTGTCGAGCTCCTGCGCGATATCTGTATCGATATCAGTAAGCCCATTTGTACTGTGCCCCGAACTCACTCATGTCATCGAGACTCGTGGCACATCCACATTCATGTCCGACAGGAGAGTGCCTATGGCAGAACTCAGGTGCGATAGGGCAGAACCTGGCCATAATGAGATAGTTTCCCTTAGTTGAATCGACGACCTTGAAGCTTGTTCGAAGAAAGAAGACGGTTGAATGAGAATTCGTTGGCAGTGAATTTACCAGCAGAGCTGTAATCCCTGCTCGTGGCATCTACTCAGCTAGCATCGAGCATCGGAGAACGATTACTGTTTGTAATTATGTAGTTCAGCTAGCACCGCGAACTTAAGTGGCTTAGCTTCAGCTATCTCACTCACCTCTATCCATCCAAAAGCTTCACCAACGCAGACATTCATCGATAACGATCAACTCAGCCAAAGAAGACTGTGGCTCTCAGACGGCTTAAGGTTGAAGGCCCACAGTCAGAAGCATCCATCTGGAGATCCACTGTTACATGATTCGGGCAACAGGAAAAAACCTATTGCGCATTCGCGGAAGCCAGCTCCCTCAGTCATGGTGGTCCCAAAAATCTGGAGTTGTTTGCGAGATCGCACTTTCAACTACTTTTGGCAAAAGGCTATTAATAATTAATCAAACGTGAGACAGAAAGTGGGCCTCGAGGGCAAGTTGTGATGGGAGCTCGTCGTAAGTTGTTGGCCTTTCTTCTCTTGCAACACGAAGTAGAAGTCCGCGCATAAGACAAGGGAGAATATTAAGATCGAATCTACATTTCTTTAAGTAAGAGCAGCGGTATAGAGCAATAGCACATACAATACATTATTCATGCGGCCATCCAGCCTGCGCCACACTGATGCGCGGTAAGCACCATCAGCCTGATTCGAGAGCCGGGAAGTACCAACCGCACTGTCACAATTATGTAAGTGCAAGGGTATGTGTTTTGGAAGGTGTGGAGATGTACGCAAGTTGGACCGATATGCAGAGGCACACTAGTGTGATACCGTCGAGGAAGATAATGGGATGTATTCTTGCTGCAGCCTTAATGGAGGCAAACTCTCACGCCCTGGGCGTCTATGGAAACAAGGGACAGGTTGATGCAGTGACGTCACTGCAGCAGCAAGACACCCACAAACCCTCCGCCAAAGACCACCCCGGCCGTGTTCATTGTTCAACACCAGCAACCTCCAGTAAAATGTCGCAGCTCATTCCAAGCACCGCACCCTGTCGAACGTTTGCAGATCATGAGGGCGTTGGCACCACGCGCTGTAGGAGTTTTCCCCGATAGACGACGAATGATCACAGGCTCGTATGACAAGACGCTTCGTCTGTGGGACTTAAATACAGGTACGGTGTTGAAGAAGTTGGAGGGGCATCGTAGTCAGGTGTTGAGATGGGCAGTATCAAGAGATGGGCAAGTGATAGTAAGTGGTGATGAGTGGGGAGAGATCATTGCCTGGCACGGAGAAACTGGGGAACCTCTAACCCGACCCATCAAAGCCCATTCTGATCGGATTTCATCGCTGGACTTTTCCCCCGATGGAACAGTGTTAGCCACTGGTTCAAAAGACAAAATGACAAAACTCTGGAGCACGAAAACATGGAAGCCTCAAGGAAGTCCAATCATTAGTGGTTGGGCCAACTGTGTTCGATATTCGCCGTCTGGCAAACTTCTTGCGATTGCAACAGGAAGCATTATGATTGTCAATTCAGCCACAAGGGAATGTGTCGCAATGTTCAATGCTAGCACTTATACACGATGGAACTGCTCACTCGCGTGGACACCCGATGGCACTCGACTTCTCACAACGGGCGATGAAAAGGATCCCAATATACGGGAGTGGGATATATCCACTTGGAAGCAGGTCGGCAATCCCTGGATGGGCCATACTCACGAGATCCTCTCCATTTCCATTCATCCCGCGGGCAGCCATGTCGCTTCCGCATCTTGTGACAACTACGTCCGTCTCTGGCGGTTCTCAGATCGACAAACCATCGCCATCTTCCAGCACTCAGCCTGGGTATGATGTGTCACTTTCTCCATAGATGGTAAACACATCCTCAGTGGAGGTCAAGATAAAATCTCAGAGTGGGCAGTGCCCGAGGGTACTCCCAAGAAACCGGTATCAAAGGTACTTTTCCGTTCATTTTCCGCCCCTTCGCCATCTAATATCACGTCTTTTTGATGCCAAGGCTCAAGTCTCTGACTCAAAGGCATGTTTCCATCCATTGACTCGTATAATGCAATTAGACCAAACTTCATGCATCATGCTGCAGATACTCGCCATTAGCACGACTGCCCGCAATGCAGGGGATTCATCTACTGCTGAAGATAACACTTCTGAAGTAGCGGGCATTATTCGAAAGGTCATCCACGTTCAGCTCGATACTGCCCCGCTTCGCCTACTCAACACTGTCACTGGGCTTTTATGTGATCGAGAAGCACAGATAAGTACCTTCAAAACGAGCGCAGAGTATAAAGAGCTTCTGCTATCAACAATGAAGCACCCTGACCTCCGAACGGGGCACATCGCAGAAGCGGTGGCGATGTACTTCGGTTGTGTCATGCTATCGCATAGGTGGGAAGACACGGAGCCACTGCTGCATGACGTCCATGGCAGGGTCGTATACAAGTTGAAGGCATCTAGTGGTCTCGTAAAGTTGCAGTCATTCTGCAGAATTGTCCGTGATGCAGGGTATCACTGGGCGTGGGTTGATACATGTTGCATCGACCAGAAGAACAATGTCGAGCTCCAAAAATCACTCACCTCCATGTTTGCCTGGTATCGCAATTCAGCGCTCACAGTTGTCTACCTATCGGATGTTCCGCCTTCTTCAAAGTCCGGCGCTCTGGCGGAGAGCGCTTGGAACACCAGGGGATGGACCGTCCCGGAATTTCTGGCTCCTAAAGTCATTCTCTTCTACCAACAAGATTGGTCCCTGTATCTTGACGACCACTCGCCAAACCACAAGGGATCTGTCAAGATAATGAATGAGTTGGAAGATGCGACGGGCATAGATGCACGTGCCCTCGTCGCCTTCCAACCAGGGATGAGAGATGCCCGAGAGAAACTCCGATGGGTATCTACGCGTGTCACCACTGTGGCGGAAGACATCGCATATTCGTTGTTTGACATCTTCGGCATCCAACTACCTATCCTTTACGGCGAGAATAAGCAGAATGCGCTCGGAAGGCTCTTGCAGGAAATCGTAGCTCAGTCGGGCGATATTACTGCCTTGGACTGGGTCGGAAAACCTTCCGAGTTCAACAGTTGTCTGCCAGCCGACATCTCCTCGTACGAACCTCCGCCATACGCGGAGTCGTCTCTATCCGAAGATACGATTCAGTCATCAGTCTCCTCACTTCGAGATGCTGTCGCTCTAGAGTCGGCTTCGAGATTGTATCAGACGCTTGACTATCTGAGCGCTCCTCGTTTTGCGCACCGCCGGTTGCAACTGCCTTGCATTGTATTCCCTGTCACAGATGCCATGCCGATGCCTGGTCGAGATCAAGAGACACGCACATATGAAGTCAAGGCAGACGGGCTTCATGACCTGCAGATCACCACGAAACACAAGTTCATTCCATTCTCGCAGGCAAGACCGCTGCGCACCGGACTGACATTCCTACTCGTCCGCCCATGGAGTCGCCATATCCTTGACCTGCCTGATCCTGCAGACGATACGCAGAGCATGGAAGATTGCTCCGTGCCCGAATCTCTGTTGCACGATTGGCCCCCTTCAGAAATGAGCCGGAAGTTTATTCGGACTCTGACTCACGAGCATTGCGATTATTGGTTCGCCTTGCACAGCCTTTTGCTGCATTTTTGCTAATGCGGCAGCGCTCTGGAGAATTCAAGAGAATCGCGTCGGATTATGATATCATTGCACAAGTCAAAGACATAGCTTCTGTCCACGATATGATGGACATCAGAACCGTAGAAATATCGTAGACGTATGTTTTCTGTTGTTGAAGACTAGATATCTCTGAGTGGTTGTCGTTGGTCGACTCGTCCCTTGACGATACTTATATACACGTAGATATCCTTCAGAGCAGACATTGGATACCAATTATTCATCAGGCACTATTACTTAGTGGTACTTCTTTGTCCTATACCATCATCTTCCGCTGCACGTCATTGCGTGGGCACTCGGATTTACACTCTAACGCAGAAACGCGCAACTCCTTGCGAATTCTGAATTTTTGATTAGCTACTCTCCTCCAATTGCAGCCTTTTGTCTTGACGTGCAGAAGGTTCTTCGACATTATATTCTACTTATCCGCCAATAGTAGCGTCCTGATGGATGGTGTCCAAGGGCTTCTCTTGCTAATTGATTCCACCGGGTGGAAATTGCTCACTAGCACCGGGGCAGGATTGTACCACGATAATCGCTCAGTCAGTCAATTCTGTCCGTCCAAGATCTCGAAGTCGCACAAGCACATTCAAACGTCGGCGAACCTAATTGATATTGAAAGCGCTACGGCACGCCTGTATCATATTCTTCGATAGTATAGTCGTGCACCAGGTTAATGCCCAGCCACTTCCCTATCCTATCCAACAACTGTTTGTCCTCTAGAATTCTTCGTGACACTTGCTCCGAGCACGAATACTGGACCCATGGAAGCAAAGTACTTGCAGTTGATAATCACAATCTGACGGGTAGTGGCTCAGCTCAGTCTTAGGCACTAGCGCTACACCTGCACATCCGAATAGCGTCAGTTTCTACGTGCGACGAACAATATTTGAGTTGTCAGAAGACGATACGGCAGGATTCCCTAGCAATTGATCGATTAAAATGATTCGAGAGGTGTGCAAAGGATGAACTCACGACATAGGCTCAGGCCGCTGATGGCGTGTATGTTCCTGGCTATGGGACTGATGGGTTTATTCAGGTAGGTATGGTCACCAGTCTGCGGGGTACGTGGGGCCGGTAATGTGAATCACGAACGCGTCAGACATGGATACCTCTGGGGAACGTCAGTCTCGCGATCATAAGGGAGATGCGGTGGCTAGGACAAACAGTGAGACCAATTATCCCAGGTACTTCCGATCTTACGGTCCAAGAGTCGGTGAACATCCCGATTGGCCAGAGACACAAGCGAGATAATGGTGCCCTTCCTGACATTTCCGAGGATAAGGACGGTTCGTACATGTCGATATGCCGTAGGTGTGCAGTGTAACTAGAACATGTTCACTGATATAACTTCTGTGATAAAGTATCCAATTAACTTATAAGTTATGAAGGTGTCAAGTCTAAGCCAGACGATGGTCAATAGCCGTCACAATTTTACAATTCTTTCGACTCGCATAAGGGTGCTTCGTATGAAAATTTGACGGTCCTTTTGGTGGGGTTTGCAGTCCTGGATGTGTAGTCCTGAGATGGGCGAAAAGATGTATTCATGAGGAGGACCAGTTGACCAGCCTTCCGGAGTCCGACCCGATCTCCCGTATACAAGATAAGTACTTACTGTCTTCATGAACGTAAATCTCAGGCATATCGAGAACGCAACCTTGAAGACAGAATGAGCATATCTGGCGTGATGGTTCAAACCTGCAAGTTCTCGACTTCGACGTTGTCAACGTGCAGAACGTTCAACTTTGACACCTACATAATTACCCAATTGACGTGTACACAATACCAAATAACCCCAAATCATCTCCTCACTGCATCACCTCAAATATTCGCCACCATCAACGCACATCACCCAACACTGGAGCGTCGCTAACACTGGAACACTGGAACCGATAACAATGGCGACGAAGGCGACGTCTGTGGCATGAGCATCTGTCGTATCCCGTTTGAGGGATGTTGTCCGTGTGAGTTTGCGCCTTTGGTGCATGATAACTTCCATTCTGTCTCGTTTCGTTTCTTTTTATATATATTGCGCGTTGCGTTTTTGCCCTTACGCTGTATTTCTTTTGTACAGTCGTGTGTGTCGTCACTCCTTCCCTTGCTTTTATGTCCTTCGAGAGAATCACGAACACCAAGAACATACTACAATCGAATCTCCTATCGGATCAGTCTGAGTCGAATGCAGTCACGTCTTCTAGTACTGCACTGCTGGCCCAAATGGCTTGGAACGGCCGCTTCGAAACAACGCTGTCCCGACGCGTTTGGGGTGCGTGATGCATTTTCCCATCTTTGGGCTGATGTATTTGTGTTTTTTGGGTGTTGCGATTGTATGTAGATCGCGCTTCACACTAGTGCTAACTGTATTGGATACTCGGACTCATACATTGCACTGCTGTATGCATCTCCCAGGAAACTGGTCGTGTCAATTTCAAGCAGTGTCTTGATATCGACCCGTCCAGTCACGGGTCACGCACGTAAAGCACAACGATACATATATTGGATTCGAATATACAGTATTATTACAAGGCGCCGCGCCCATCCATCCATCACGAATGTCAGCACAATTCACCGTGGGTAACGGCCCCCCAATCTTTATTCGTACTTTGCAGGAGCACTTGGAGTACATGCAGAAACATCGTAATCCACTCCCATATTCATCCGCACCTGGGTGCGTGAGCTTTATATTCTTACCGATGATCAGGCATTCATTCCTGATGCCACGGGCCAACAGGCACATCCGCATGTATCTTCTTTCAGAGTGGACTCCGGGTAAAGGCCTTGCGGACGACACGCGGGCTGCGCCAGCGGCCGTTTTTTCCACTTGAACGAGCTTCATTTGAAGGAAGTGATGGGTGAGTTGGCCATGGAGTGGTGTTTTGTACGTGCTACCTACCCTGTCTTGTCAGTTGTCGATTGACTCGGATGGACATAATAGGCGATCGATCTGAAGATAATGCAACTGTTTGAGGAAAAGTGTAAGGGGATATTGTCGCGCTTTGCTTCGATTGTGTCGGCTGATGCGAAGGGGGTTGTGTGGATGTATGGTGAGTTCGTGATGGGCTCTTTGAATGTATTCCAAATTCCTTGACTCATTTCTCATTCGTTCACTTCCAACCTAGGGCTAAAGATGCCGTATTCATACGCGCAGACCACCTACGCATTATTTGACAATATCATTCGTCGTTGAAGGCGCCTTAGAAGCAACATTAGGTCGCATTACTGAGCTACTTGGTAACGGCGTAGTGTGGGAAAGCGTGTTTCATTACTAGCACTACTACTCTGGTGCTGACTCGGGGCTCTCTCGAAGTGCTGCAGGGGCACAAACAAGAACGTATCGGTCAGGGAGGGTGGAGCCGAGAAGTACCAATTGCATCATCTCAATTGGATCCATTTTGGAAGTTGTGGAGATGCACATCGGATCAGCGTTCAGGATGTTATAGTAGGGTCGGGAAAGACACATCATGATAACGATTCTTGCTGCAGCCTTAATGGAGGCAAACCCTCATTCCCTGGGCGTCTATGGAAACACGAGGCAAGTGTAACCACCTAAAAGAGCACAGTACGCGCGGTCCCTCCACCCAAGTGACTAAGTCCACCCCGATCGTGTTCGACCAGGCGAGCCTGTCATATTGATGCATGAATGCGTTGTAGTTGTAAGGTAGGAGTGATGCAACACTGTTACAATCCATAGGCAGGTAAATAGGGTGCATCATAATGCATCACTGATGCAGCACGATGCATCAGCAATGCTATATGATGCATGCCTGTGATGCTTGCTATGATGCATCATTTGATGCGGTGCTGTCCATTTACGGTATGTAGCGTGTTTGGCGGGTTGTCCATTTACGGTATGGAGCGCCTTTGGCGGGTTCTGGCCATACAGCGGGATATGATGCATTATTTTCGGAGCGCCCTCCCGCCCGCCTTCTTTGATGGGCGGTATTGTCCATTTATGGTATTCAGCGGGGCAGGTTCTGGCAATACAGCGGGTATGGTGGGTGCACCAGCAGCATTCCACCTTGTTACTTATCCTCAGTGGCCCGTCAGCGCTCACTTTCAGCATATGGCCGCAGGTACAGATGCGTCTTGGGGGGTTCTGGAGCGCATGGGGGGTACAGTGCACCAGCATACGGTGGGTACGGGTTCTGGCAATACAGCGGGTACGGTGGGTGCACCAGCAGCATCCCACCTTGTTATTACTGATCCTCAGCGCTCAATTCTAGCAATATGGCTGCAGGTACAGATGCGTCTTGGCGGGTTCTGGGGCGCACGGCGGGTACGGTCACTGTGCACCAGCATACGGCGGGTATGGGTTCTGGCAATACAGCGGGTACGGTGGGTGCACCAGCAGCATTCCACCTTGTTGTTAATCCTCAGGCGCTCAATTCTAGCAATATGAATATTCTCGGCGGGTTCTGGGCAGATGGGCTACTACTATCTATCAATTGACACTGTTACCAAGTACATAGCGAGTAATGCATCATTCTCCTACAACCAAATTTCATGAAGTCCGTAGCACAAAATTTCGGTGATGTATATATGTTGATGCATCAATGTTAGCAATTTCACTCTCGCACACCTATTCTTGCTCACAGTCAAACATTAGCATTTGAACCATGCGCGCAAAATGATGTATTATATTTCTCGACAGGTACAAGATAACTATTAGACTGAGTAGGGACATTATATCAAGAAATTAGCAAGACTATGATGATGACAGCATGAAGAACAACCATACTAGACCTTTGCCCGCTTCTTCCTAAGAGCTCTTAGCAGGCATCGAAAGAAAAATGAGCAGGATAACATACTGTTGAGCACCCGCAGACCCGTTCTGCACAGGCCGTTTCATGGAAGGCCCAGTACCAATTGCATCCGCCAGCTCGTTACGCCTGGACTTAACTGGGACACGCTTAGATGCACGTGTGTTCGTAGAGTCATTGGTAATTCCACCAGGAGCTGCATCCCCTGGTGAACTAGACTCAGCTCCGGGTGGGTTAGTAATCGTGGGGGTGGTGGCGGCCTTGGGCTTGCGGACGGCCTTGGGTTTTGGGGCGGCCTTGGGTTTTTGGGCGGCCTTGGGCTCGAGGATGATTTTTTCGGTGATTGGCTTGGTTATGACAGCGGAGAGAGAATTGTTGGGTGTACTGGGGAGCTGGGGTGGGTTGGGATGAGGCAAGACTGGGAGCAAGGGTGGGTTGGGATGAGGCAAGACTGGGAGCGAGGGTGGGTTGGGATGAGGCAAGACTGGGAGCGAGTCAGCACTGGACTCATGCAGACTAGTGCGCTCAGCAGAAACCGGTGATAAATTTTCCTGGAGCCAAGCAGCAGCAGAGGCCGGAGACGTTTGGAAGACTGGATCAGTCCAATTGAGATCTTGCCACATATTGGGGAATGAGAAGTTGGGGGTCGACACAGAGGGGTTGTAGACCGGTGTAAACCCATCAGTGGACATGAGAGGGGCAGTATACGCCGGAGTAAAAGAACTAGGAACCGAAGTGGTGGACATTTGGGGCGCATAGAATGGTCCGAACGAGTTGGGAACTGAATTGGTGGTCACAGGGGGTACGTATGCTGGTAGATACGAATGAGGAATTGGTGCGGAGACACCATTATAGTTAGAGTATGATGATGATGCATCAGACTGCAGGGGTGCATCAACGTGAATAGATACGTATTGCAAATGAAAGGGTACGTACCATTGCACCTATTGATGCATCAGGCGTGGCTCCTGATGCATCAGATGCATCACCCAGTGAAGCATCAGGCAGCGGCAAGGAGCCTTGTGATGCATCAGGCGGATGCATCAGCTGATGATAAAAAATATAAAGACCGACCAATCTACCCACCTTCATGATCCTCTTGCTCCTCTTCCCCTTGACCAAAGGACTCGATGTCATTGTCCTCTTCGACGTCGTCATGGCCATCGGGCACCTCTTCATCATACACTTCAAATTCCTCACCGCACTCCATGTCCTCGTTCCCTACAGTAACGTTAGGCTTGCGCTTGTCGGATGCTGCATGATATAAATTAGGTAAGCCAACTAGCAACTTGCAGATTAAAAACGCACGGAAGATTATTTCCGCATATTGCTGAAACGCCTCTAGGAAATTCCTATTGGCTGTTTGGTATAACTGGGCGAAGGTTCTGCCTTGTGGAGTTTCAGAGGGATGGCAACTTGAATACATCAGAGTCTCGGCGTGAGTAAACAGTCTATACCCGATACGTAAACTTACGATAATGAGGTCATATCCCAGTCGTTTCTTGGATCTGGACCAGCAAACATGAAGGACACGAGGAAACCGGTCTTCTTCTTGACCAATTGCGCGAATCGCCGGCAGATAATGGGTAAGTCGTCTATGCCCCTGCTTGAATGTTAACTATTGAACTCTATTCACAGAAACCACTTACTGCGCAATTCCCTCCGCATCAAATGGCACACAGTCATCCTCGGTATCCTCATCTAAAAAATTCTTCTTGCCAGACCTCTCGTGAGTTTTCTACTGCTTCTCGTACATGTCACGAATCTGAACCTTGACCTCCTCATCCTCATCATCCAACAGCTCTTTAGAAAATTTACGCCCCAGCGCAACTCGTCTGCCCGACGACACCTTCCCAGCCTCTTCCTCAGCCTTCACCAATGGTCTAATCCGCTCATCGTAGTAGATATCGGAGTACAGCTCAGCCTCGGACTTAGCACGTCGTTTTGGCTGCAGCACGTCATCGAAGACAGTTGTCTCCTTTTTCAGGCGACGGTTTTTCTTGGACGCGTTCGCACGCCAATGAAACCAAGTCCGGAGTTGCTGAAGCACGTCAGTAAATAGTAATATGTTCATTATAGATGGGCTTACTATTTTGCGCCTGCTTTCAGCTTCTCCCACCTCAATACGTTGCTCCGGCGAAAGGGCGTCAGCGGGAATGTCGGGAAATACTACCGCTTCCTCTGGGAACTGTTTAAACCAGTCCCCAATCAAGGTGGGCCAAAAACGCGAATAATCTTTTTCCTTCACGTGCTCTGTGAGATATTGGGGGAGGCGCTCTTGAAGCCACTCCATTTGTACGTCTGAGGTCCAGCGTGCTGCAGGCATGACGAGATCTTGTATGTTGAATGAGGTCACTGCAAGATTAAATGCGCGCACTTCAAGTTGTCCCGAAAAATGAAAATGGTGTGTAAACTTATGTATGCTATACCTGTTGGATTCTGTTGGATTCTGTCTCACGCACAGGCCTAAGTTGTCTTGAACAGTGCAATCAACCACCTGAAGGAGCAGTATGGTAGATCAGTTAGATACTTCGTCCATAGCTAACTAAATAGAAGTCGCAAGCACATTGTTCTAATTTTATCTAGGCACCTTGAGATCCGATCAATCGAAGTCCAAATCTAAGCCATCGAAGTCTAAATCTAAGCCATCCCCCGCCTCGGTGTTAGTACTCCCACCATCCTCGATCCGATCAATCGAAGCGCCATCTCCCTGGGCCTCGATGTTAGTGCTCCCACCATCCTTGACGTCGCCGCTGGCAGGCTCATCACCTGTGACATCCACCCAATTCTCTATGAACTCTTCTTCGGCCTGTAACGTCGCATTCTGATTATGCACCGACACGATTGTGAACGGAATGTATCCTGCTAAGGCCTTTTGGGATCGAAACCAAGTTTTAATGCGCTATTGAGTGGTCAGCTTGTGCACTCCATAGAATCTTGGTACCCACATATTTCCTCTGTTTAACGGCCTGAAACACCTGACGGTGCTGCTCTTCAGAGAGAGACTGAGTGTTGGGTAAGTCAGGGAACAAAGCATCACACTCTGGCCAGCATTCGAAGAAAATCTCGTATAGGGATGTCCAGAACTCAATGAGGTCGTTGTACTCATAGCAGTAGTTGTACTGGTCTAGCTGATTTGTTAGCCAGCGGCGCTGATCAGTTGAGAAATAGGGTTCCGACATGGTGAGAGTTGACGCGTGAATGTAGATTAGAACTGTGAAATAGTATTATTTCGCGCTCCGAGCAGCGGAGTGCACGATTGTCACCAGATTGAACGTTGAACGTTGGCAGTCTGAAAATGACACCGTCAATGTGATAGAATAGCATATCAGTCTCTGAGTATACTACCTAGCTACTAGTACTTAGTACTATCTGTGATGTACATCATCCAAAGCCTTCCAAGGGCTGAGTCTGGGCTTGTCTGATACATACAAGCTTTGAATAAAACTCCCATAAAACTCCCTGCGTATACTATGACAACAAAGTGCCAGCTCTTGATTGCTCGAACATGAGCGGCCATCGTGCTCTAACCCTTGCACAGGGATATGACATATCGTTCCTTATTACGAACGTCCATTCAGAGACCATGTTGAAACACAAGGTCGTCGATTTCATCATTCAGTGCGTGGCATCCGAATGCTTCTAGTACATCGTTCTCTCGTCCCCGGTACAAGATTTAGAGTAGTAGACAGGGAAATAAGTGAGATGAAGCTTAGTAGCCTCAATGTGTGCGCGCACACGGTAGCCGAATCGTATCTTACCGCTGTTTGTGTCTTACTCACTGCGTGCTGGTGTGCATTACCCTTACATGAATGCTTACCCCTGACAATAAGACACTTTCATGAACACCAAGCAACGGCTACCTACGCACACTGGATCTGACATCCTCACGCTTCAAAGGCAGCCGGTGTTTCTCGGTCTCGGTCTTTGTCTCCTACAAATAAACTGATAACACGTTCTGAAGTAAGTAGTGCGAGCTAGTTCTATCTGTCCCGAAGTCTGAAGTCGGCTAGTTCCATCTGTCCTACAGTCTGCTAATTATCCTACCTACGCACATCTGACATCCTCATGCTTCAAAGGCAGCCGGTGTTTGGTCTTTATATTCTACAAATGTACTGATAACACATTCTGAAGTAAGTAGTGCGAGCTAGTTCCATCTGTCCTGAAGTTTGAAGTCTGCTAGTTCCATCCGAGTCTGTCCTGAAGTCTGCTAATTATTGTGCCCATGCACATCTGACGCTCTCGCACTTCAAAGGCAGCCGGTGTTTCTCTGCTTCGGTCTTTGTATCATACAAATGTACTGATAACACATTCTAAAGCTAAAGTAATGCGAGCTAGTCCCATCTGTCCCGAAATCTGAAGTCTGCTAGTTCCATCTGTCCTGTAGTCTGCTAATTATCCTGCCTGCGCACATCTGACATCATTACACTATAAAGGCAGCGGTGTTTCTCTGCCTCGGTCTCTGTATCCCTGATTCGCACCTCTCTGGAACTGCTTAATTGAGTGGCGGATCACTTCTAGTATTGGCCACAATTGGTACATAGATGCGTCCATACAGTATATACAAAAATATATTGTCTACTTAAGGCAGCCACTGCGCTTCTCCGAGATCAATGGCATCGAGCATGCGCACCAGGCTGTCATCAAGGGACTTGCAGCGGCTGAATGATGAACAGCTAACACCGAGGACATGCGGGGATGTGCGCTGCCTGAGGGAGAATCAATGGCAAGAACAAAAACGTGCCACCAATCAAGATACACACCATGTCTCAAAGACACCTACCCGGCGGCCGCGGGTGACAAGGTAGAAAGGACCAAGGGCCCCAGCACGCGGAACATCGAAGCTGAAATCATGATATTGCTGCTGGCCCCTTGTCTCGCCATTGACGATGACGGCTGTCATTGGAAGATGCGGGAAACCGACAAACTGCACGAATGCAGCGGCCTGAGTCTCGACGGCTACTGCAGGAGGGCTGACGACAGCTACTGCAGGAGGGCTGGTGACAGCTACTGCAGAAGGGGGGCTGATGACGGCTACCGCAGGAGGGGGACTGATAACGGCTACTGCAGAAGGGGGACTGACGACGGTTACTGCAGGAACAGCCAATGTAGCAGAAAGGGTAGCAACCACTGGGGTGATGACGGCCGCCGTAGGAGTTGCAGACGACATGACAGGAGGGCCTCCACTACCATCAGAAATCACTTGGATGAGAGTTTGCGCCTCATCATTCGATAGCGTCAATGAAGATAGTAATTGCAATACAGCATCTGAAACGTGTGTTAGCAGACATAAATCAGTGATGGGCCAAAAACGCACCAAGGCTGCTTTGGTCGTTGTTCGTGGTGGTGGTCATTGTTTAGGAAGTCAGATGGGACGTAGGCCATCAAGAATCGAAGATAAATACTTACCGAACTCAACGCCTAGCTGAAGATCGGGTGGGACGGTTGCTTAATAGAGAATCAACCAACAGTCCATGAAGGTCGGTTGCAATAGAGAATCATTGTCTATTTGTCGTTGTTTGTTGATTCGCACAGAAGGTGAGCAACTTCTTTGAAAATCCACGATATGATCGAATCTACAATCGAATCCATGCGTGATTCGATGCTGGCCATCAACATACTATACTTCACGAATGGCAAGTCCATTTCTGATGAGTCCATTGCTGGTGACGGCCAGCATTACAGGTAAGTAGGAAAAAATATCATTGTCATTTGCTAACGATCAGTACAGCCAGTACTTTGTCATGGAGTCCAATCTATCCCCCCCAAATGCTGATTCGTCTTCAACAATTGTATGTACAGACGAATTGCGTCGGGAGCTGGGAAGAACAACAAGAGCCAAGAAGCGCCAGAAAAAGGTTATCCTCAATTCTTACTCACGTCCAAAATCGAGCGTCAAGCAGCGAATGCATACCCAGTACCAATATCGTGGAGACGGCTCTATCTCATATACCCTGCAGTATGTTCAACCTCCCAAAAACGCACAGCCGACCATGCACTGTCAACCGCCCAAGCCTATCCAGCCTGCGCTAGCCATGGTGCTAGATGATTTTGGTGAATTTTCGGCTGATATGTCATGCGGCGCTGACAATGATGCTCACTCTGAGAGGAAACGGGTAAGTCGCCAGACTAACGTGATTATGCTTCATGCCAGTGCTCACTGACTGCGTTCAGCAAAATCCACTGCTGGTGTGGCTCAAGGATCGTTCACTGTTCCTCCAGGAGATGCTACGACTCGAAGGCCAAGGAGAACTTAGTGCAGGGCCGTGTTCTGGTTGTGGTAACCCACATCCGGAATATCGTTGTCAAGATTGCTTTGGGATCACTCTGTGTTGTGCTTCCTGCACGGTGACGGCCCACATGCACCACCCGCTGCATCGGCTGCAGGTAAGTGTTAATTAAATAATTGTATTCATGTGGAATATGAACTCACTAGATGTAGAAATGGAACGGAGAATATTTTGAGCCAGTGAGCCTGAAGAGCCTCGGTCTCCGGATCCAGCTTGGACACGTGGCCGGTCAGACTTGTTCCAATCCTCGCCGCGCATTCGGTGATGACTTTGTCATCATGGATTCTCATGGCGTTCACGAAGTAGCTTTGGATTTTTGCGATTGCTCCCTGGCCACAACCCACATACAACAGCTCCTTCGCAAGTCGTTATTTCCGTCAACAACAATTGACCCCAAGACTGCGGCAATGTTTCGCCTTCTCGAAGAATTTCATCTCTTGTCGTTTGAATCGAAGGTGTCGGCGTACGAGTTTTATAACGCGCTGATGCGGAGGTCTGACAATTCGGGGCTGAGTCCCATCAAAGTACGTACTGTTAGGGCTGCTCCATGACAACATCGCCTTACGTTTCTTTAGGATCGATACGACGAATTCAGGCGCATGATTCGCGAATGGCAACATCTCAAGATGCTCAAACAGTCTGGGCAACCTTACGATCCCAATGGGATTGATTCGACTCCCGAGGGTGGATGCGTTATTCTCTGTCCGGCCTGTCCGCAGCCTGGGAAAAACTTACCCGCTGACTGGAGAGAGGCTTCCCCTACTGACCGGTAAGATGCTACCGTAATGGCATGTGTATTGCAGTCACTGATTCATAGAAGTAGCTGGCTATATGGGCTGTTTGTGGCTATCGACGCTAATTTCCGGTTGAAACGCAAAGTTGTTTCAAAGGATAGTGTAGACCCCAGCCTGAGTTGTGGCTGGGGGTACTTTGTCGAAGAACATGCATACAAGGCTTTCCTAGACGGTAAATCCAACATTAGTCAAGAGGTGAGTTTTCAGTCGTCTTTGCATATTTTTCTTAATACTAACGCAGGGCTTGCGGAACAGAAGTCTACATGTTCAAGTCACAATGCGGTCAACAGTGCGGATACTAAGTCCAGTCATGGGCTTGCAGCTACCGGGCTGGGTACCATTGATTGCGCTCGCCACAACATGAAATTACCGACCGCAGTTGGAGACCTCCAGAAAGGAGAAAGGAGAGTTATGCTATAGTTCAGACTCCCGATTATATTGACGTGCCACCATCTAGATATGTAAATATGGATTACCTCTTCTTCTCGACCCTTCGCCACACCACTGTCAATATCCTTAACGTCTCGTATGATATAGCATGCCAGTGGAACAAGAACTTATGGCACCGTATGGCCTCATTCCCCCCCTCGATGCAACTGGACCACAGCGCTAAGAAAGTCACCTTCTTTGTACCAAAATTTCATTTGCCAGCTCACATCGAATCATGTCAAACAAGCTTCTCATTCAATTTTGCGCGCGGCGTTGGACGAACGGACGGAGAAGCTCCAGAGCGAGGATGGGCGAACATAAATCCCGTGGCATCGAGCACGAAGGAGATGGGCCCAGGCGCGAGACGAGACACTCTCGACGATTTCTTTGGGGACTGGAATTGGAAAAAAATTACCGGTCTACGTAAGTGACGCACTGACTACTGATGCATTACTGATGCATTGCTGATGCATCATTAGGTCGCACCATGCTGCGGAAGGTGAAAGAAGCCTTACCCGAACTATCCGAACACGAAGCAGCGCTGGACGACCTCGAAGAAGGACTGAAGGTGGAATACGCGGAGGCATTGAGTAGATGGAAAGAGCAGGTTGAGGCATGGGAGCGCGATCCCTCCCAGCCGAACCCATATGAACGGAGTGCAGAAAGTGAGTACATTGCATTTTTTCAATAATGTCTTGACGCTGATGTCATTTTATGCAGAGATCACGCTTGCCTCTGTGCGCCTCGAACTTGCGAAAGAAGACACATCAGAAATTGAACTAGGCGGCTTCCACGAATTGCATGAAGATTGTTCGCCCAGCGTGCTGATTAGCGGCGGCCTAGAGCTAGAAGAGCAGCAGTAAGTTTAATCAATATTTCATTGTATGCTTGCTAATGAAACACTTCAGGCGACGTCTTCGAGCTGAGAAGGCGGGTCTAGGGATTCATGCCACCGACATTCAAGAAGAGAAGGTCGTTCAACATAGTAACAGTCTCCAACGTCGGATCGAGGCCTGGGTCAAAGTCCAGGAGCTATACATGCCGATGATCGCGGCCTTATGACTGAAAAACAAGTCCAGTGATGTCGTCGTCACTCCCGAGTCATTTCAACTTCTACTTCCTTCGCAAGTTGGCAGAACGGATCCTTGCGACCTCAAATTTCAGAAAATTGAATGGAGACTTCGATTCGCACAGGCTCATGACACTCTACGCTCACTACGTTCTAATCTACGCACGCAAACCGCTATCCTGAAATACAAGGACCGTAATCTCCGTGGTCAAGGCTCAAACACCCGCGCTCGTAACACGCTCAAAGGTGTTGACGCAAGAATTGAGGCAGCATCGACCCGATACCAGGATGCGCGCAGAGCGCTAGTGATTCTTGCTCCCTTCGTCAAGGAGACGGGATGGCAATCCTCCCTACGTCCACTTGATCGTCAAGATATCCGAGGGATGTCGGATGTCCTGTGGGGCGAGACTGAGGGAAGAAGAAAACTTTCATGGATATGGAATATGCGCGGTGCTCATGGAGACGAGCTGGATGATGATGGATCTATGGAAGGTAAGCTTACCAATTTGTTCATGCACCCTATCTCACCGGCACTCTATCCAGACATGCGAATAGAATGGTGCAAGGCCAGGGCGCGCGCTATGCGGTGGAAGGAGGAGCTCGAGCTGTTACGAGAGGAGATGCGGAGAATTTTGCAGTTCTTTGACTGGGAGGCGATGTCGTGGGATGAGCGCGCAGATCAGAACTGGTCTGGTAGTCCCGCCGAGAGAGAGGGCCGGATTGCATATGCTCGACGTCAAGCAGCCTTACGTCGGGCAATGCGGGACACGTGTCGTTCCAGTTGGGCGGACACTCGCTCGTTCGTGGACCAGTTCCATGGGGAATCCTAGCGCTTGCATGCATGATGTAGTACCCTTCGCATAGTTAATGTACCCTTCACGTAGTTTTGCAATCAATCAATACAGGTGTTGACCAATGTACGGGTGAAGGGCGGGGGATGCAGCAGGCGGGATCACTAATGTACGGGTGCAAATAAAGGCGGGGGATGCATCAGACGAATAGTGTGATGCATCAAAGGAAGGGCGGGGGATGCATCACGCTATTCGTGTGAAGGGCGGGGTGAAGGGTGGGGGATGACAGCGTGATGCATCAAATGAAGGGCGGGGGATGCATCAGGAAGGGCGGGGGATGCATCACACTATGCATCAAATGAAGGGCGGGGGATGCATCAGACGAATAGTGTGATGCATCCCCGCCATTCATTTGATGCATCAGAAGTAGGTGTGCATGCATTGCACAGCGGAGGCATGCATCACATTATGCAGGGTATTGTGGGGGGGGACATGCATCACTCATGCATCAGGGGGCTTTAGGATTATAACGTTGTTGCATCAAAACAGTACTACAGTCACAACGATTCATGCATAACTATGACAGCAACCTGTGGTTCGACACCATCAAGTTCCAGTAAAATGTCGCAGCTCATCCCAAGCAACACACCCCTTCGACTTTTTAAAGATCATACAGCCACTGTATGGGTTGTAGCAGTTTCCCCTGATAGAAGACGAATGGTCACAGGCTCGTACGACAAGACACTTCGTCTGTGGGACTTGAAGACAGGTGTAGTGTTGAAGAAGATGGAGGGGCATCACAATGAGATGCGGGCATTGGCAGTATCACGAGATGGGCAAATGATAGCAAGCGGTGATAAAGATGGAGATTTCATCGCCTGGCACGGAGAAACTGGGGAATGTCTCACCCAACCCACCAAAGTCCACTCTGAACGGATCTTATCGCTGGACTTTTCTCCCGATGGAACCGAGCTAGCCACTGGTTCAGCAGACCAAACAACGAAGCTGTGGAACACGAAAACGTGGAAGCCTCAAGGAAATCTGATCCAGTCAAGTCATTGGGTCTTCTGTGTTCGGTATTCGCCATCTGGCGAACTCCTTGCGGTTGCGACATCCAGCAGTATCGAAATTTATAATTCAAGGACGAGGGAACGCATCGCAAAGTTCAAGGCTCACACTGCAGTCAACTGGTCACTCGCATGGACCCTCGATGGCACACGCTTTCTCTCAGGCGGTGATGGAAAGGATCCCAGCATACGAGAGTGGGATACATCCACTTGGACGCAGGTCGGGGATTCCTGGACAGGCCATACTGACAATATCTATGCCATTGCCATTCACCCTGCGGGCGCGCTCGTCGCTTCCGTATCTTATGACAAGCATGTCCGTCTCTGGCGGCTCTCAGATCGACGAACCATCGCCATCTTCCAGCACTCAGCCTGGGCGGCATGTGTCACTTTCTCCGTCGACGGTGAGCACATCCTCAGTGGAGGTGCTGATAATATGATCTCAGAGTGGGAAACTCCGGAGAAGGTACTTTTCCGTTCATTTTGCGCCCCTTCACCATCTCATCTCGCGTCTTTTTGATGCTAAGGCTCAAGTCTCTCATTCAAAGGCATGTTTCGTGTCGCAGGAACTCACCATGAACATGACCGCCCACAATGCATGCATCACGGAGAACCTGTCTCCCGCGGAAGAGGATGCGCTTCTCGGTGCACAAAGGGTACGATGACATCTACCTTTTCGCAGCCATTGTTCACTTTGGCGATGCATAGGCCATTGAACTCAACCCTTCGTCTCATGTTGGATACGAAATAAAACATGCAGCGCTTCGCGGCGCAAAACGCTACGACCAAGCCATCGAGACCTTCAAAATCATGTTGTCCAAATTGGAAAACGCTCCCGAAGCGCAGATACGAGGTAAGCCCCGGAACATTCGTGCATCAACTCAAAGATCCTTATCTTCTTTCTATAGAGCTACGTCAGCAGTATGTCTCTCCATCCGAAGTAGAAAATGCTATTCGAAGAGTTGTCTGGATTGAACTCGAAAATGCCCCACTTCGTCTGCTCAACACCTCCACGGGTCTTTTGACCGATCGGGCGGCACAGCTCAAAACCTTTAAACTGAGCACGGAGTACAAGGAGCTTTTGTCATTCATAACGAAACATGCAGACCTCCGAATGGAGCACATCAAAGAAGTGGTGGCGATGTACTTCCGCTGTGTCCTGCTATCGCACAGGTGGGAAGAGACAGAGGTGCTACTGCACGACATCCAGGACAAAGTCGTATATGACTTGAATGGACTTGGCGGCATCCCGAAATTGCAGTCGTTCTGCAAAGTCGCTCGTGATGCAGGGTATTACTGGGCATGGATGGACACATGCTGCATCGACAAGAACAATAATGCTGAACTCCAAGAATCAATAAACTCTATGTTTGTGTGGTACCGCCACTCAACTCTTACCATCGTCTACCTAGGCGATGTTCCTCCCTCATCCCAGTCTGGCGCGCTGGCGAAGAGCGAGTGGATCAGACGAGGATGGACATTTCAAGAATTCGTTGCTCCGAAAGTCGTGCTCTTTTATCGGAATGACTGGAGCTTATATCTCGATGACCACTCTCCCAACCACAAAGAGTCGGCCGCAATCATGGGGGAGTTAGAGGGTGCGACGGGCATAAATCGACAGGCCCTCGTCACATTCCGTCCAGGGATGAGCTGCATCCGAGAGAGACTTAGATGGGCGTCGGCACGTGTCACAACGTTGCAGGAAGACATCGCATATTCGTTGTTCGGCATCTTTGGTGTCCACCTGCTTGTAATTTACGGAGAGAAGAAACAAAATGCGCTCGGGCGGCTCCTGCAGGAGATTGTGGCTCGGTCAGGTGACATTACTACCTTGGACTGGGTGGGACAATCATCAGAGTTCAACAGCTGCCTTCCAGCCGACATTTCCTCATACGCAGCTCCGCCATTTGCCCTGCCATCTTTGTCCGAAACCGAGATCCAGACAACGGTCTCTTCGCTGCGACATACCGTGACCACAGAGTTGGCTTTGAAAATTTATGACCAGCTTGACAACATGAGCGCTCCTCGCTTCGCGGCCTGCAGACTGCATCTGCCTTGTATCACATTCCGTATCACGGAAGTCAGGCGGAATGATGAACCAGCCCAAGAGACTCATTCCACGTATGGAGTCAAGGTAGACGGCCTTCGCGACCTGCTCATCACCACGAAAGAGCCACTGATTCAGTTCACGCCGGGAAAGCCCTCTCTACAGACATTCTTGCTTGTCCGTCCATGGGATCGTCGCCTCCTCGAGCTACCTGACTTTGCAGAACTGCCTGACCTTGGAGATGACTCGGATACAGAGAGCGAGGAGAATTATTGGACCGCACCTGGGTCTCCGTTAAACGAGCCGCCCGGTGGTTCTCATGTACAGCAAGATCTGGTTGATTCAGAACCTTACTTACGAGCGTTGCGGTCAATCATTCGCCTTGGACAACCGTTCAGGGCACTTTTGCTAGCGCGGCAGCACAGCGGAGAATACAAGAGGATTGCGTCGGATCATGATACCATTGCACAAGCCAAAGACGTAGCTTTCGTTCACAAGATGATGGACTTCAGGACCCTAGAAATATTGTAGCCGTATGTATTTTTTTGAAGACCGGGGATCTCTGAGGAGTTTTTGTTTGTACCCTGACCCTGATGATATGCACGCAGAAAGACACCCTATAATTTCCTTTGAAGCAGACATTGGAACTCAATTATTCATTACGCACAAGTACTTTTTTGCCATACACTATTCGTTCCCATTCAACTTTCCCCACACCTATCTACTTGGTTGCACTCTAGCACAGGAACGCGCAACTCCTCGTAACCCCAATTTTGTTGTTGACCCTTGACATCATGCTGGCATTCCATTCTACTTAACCGCTGATGATATCGTCCTAACGGACGACGATGAAAGGATTCTCTAACTGATCTCCAGCGGGTAAAATTCACTCACTAGCACCAAGATGAGAGCGTTGCTTACTCATTCCATTCTGTCCGCCTCAAAGTTGCACAAGCATATTCAATTGTCAGCGAACCCAATTGACATGCGTCCATATTCGTCGATGCTTAACCACTTCCCTATTCCTACAACTGTACATCCTGTCATTTAGAATTCTTTGTGGCACTTTCTCCGAGTTCGAATGTCGGACCCATAAAAAGCATTAGTCACAATCTGACGGGTAGCGCACTCGTGAGTCCGCCCACTTCACTCCGTGGCCGGGACATGTTGCACAGTGTACAGCGCTGTCCCACCTTAGCACATTATAAGCGCCTTCACCCTCGATCCCGAGGATAGCATCACGCATATCTCCGCTTTCTGTTCTACTGCTCTGTATGACAGACACTGGTTCGCCACCCAACTCAACCAGCATACTGAACATAAACCCGGAAGAGGTCCAACAAAAACAGATCTGCTTCAGACCCTCCCAACGCCGACTTTCAGTTCCGGCAGAGCAAATCGCGTAGACGAAGGAGGAACGAGAAGAGAGAAGCAGGTTATTGAGAAGTAGGTAGAGGGTGCTGATGAGGGAGGTGAATTCTTCGGATGCTAGGGCGCGTATAGTCGGGTTGGATCTTACACGAGAAATAGGATTTCTTCGAGGGACTACTGTGGTAGCATTGAGATAATTTAATGTGACATGTACGCACCTAGCAAAATCGATGTGAATAATGCGGGTTGGATATACACTGCACTTGCTGCAAGAGACGTATCTGAACTCTAGACTCTGAGCCAGAATGAGTTGCATGTTCTGTTGTTTCATCGTTGCATCCAACGACTTTCCCCCTGCGAGAGACTCGTCATTACTCAGAGTAAACTGAGGATTCGGTATAAAAATAAAAATAAATGTAACAAAGAAAAGGAAGCGAAGGAGAACAAACAAAGTAGCTCTGACTTTACGGCTGGAACTTGATTATTTTTGGTTATTTGAGTTGGGGTAGGGATTCCATCTTTGCTGTACGATATTCAACACTTATTAAATAGATGAAAGTATGAGATGTTCCACAGACCAAGGTCACCTTCGTACGTCAATAGCTGCAGCAGAAACAAGAAAGACGCACATTGCTGGTTGTTCGCCATACTGCAAATCACAGATGAGGACCAGTGAGTAGGAGTGTATAGCTGAAGGAGCTCGTGAGTCAGCAACGACGCCTGGAACTGGCGTACAACACTACAGGCGAGTGATTAGTGGGTCATCCACACGCAAATCGCACCACCATACCTTCAAGTTGAACCGACTTTGAGAGCACGTTTCACGTGTCTGAAGACACCCGATATTATCCGATACCCCAGGCAAGCGTGCCATTTTGTCTGCATCAATCACTTCACTGATGCAGTGGCTCTTCAACGGGTTATTGTCCACATAAATCGGTAGGCATTGGATGAACGAAGGATTCGTACAGATGAAGTTGGACACAGACGCTCAGTTCAAGGTTAAACATAACTATGCTTGACCCGAAGTGAGCGACTGTATCGGACTTGTGAACTTGATTCTGGTTCCTCGTGGGACATAGTCGCTCAGCCCTCTGCGAGTCGAGTGGAGTCGTCAATGACTGGGCGACTGTATCCAAATTGCGTCCTTGATTCCGATCATGAACTTTACAGCTAGTTCGATATAGGCATCGAGTCCACAAGTGAGATGCCAGTGCAAGAGGAACAAGCCCAATGATCCATGGATATCTGTAACGCGTCAGTGTCCCGTATATGAATTACCTTGGATACGTCTCCTACCTTCAAGAATGTAGACCACTGCGAGACACGCCAAAACGGCACACATTCTTGAAGACAGACCAGGACCAGTTGACTAGCATCTAGCGCAAACCCCTGAATACAAGAGATGTTCTCCCGCCGTCATCAGTGTCAATTTCCAGAGGCTCGGATCATGTTACTGTTGACGATAAGATGAGCGTGTGCGGCACGAACAACGCGTTCAAGTTCAAGTTCAAATTCGAACTCCAAACCTTTTATACAACGACGCGTACACAATACCAAATAACCCCAAATTCTCCTCCTCAACTAACCACACCACACACAACGGCCGGTTCGAAACAGCAATACTAATGTCCGATATTTAGATCAACGAGCGTGGGGTGCGTGATGAGGTTTTCTTGGTTTCGCTGATGTTGTTTTGGGTGGTTTTATAGTCGTCGTTGAGCGGAAAGCGAATGAATTGTCTTCGTCTTCGAGCGAGGCGTCTTCAAGCTAGAGGTACGATCTGTCTCGATCTAGTAGCAGATTCTTCTCCGAGCTAACATTTTGATGTTAACCGTTAGTTTGATGTCTATCGATATCTTCGGTCGTGCATAGATCACGCATCCTACCCCTGTAGTAGGTCCAGGTACTAACTCTATCGATACCCATGCGCTGTATGCATCTTACGAACTGGTATCGTCGATATCTATGGGATCACCGACATTGATACCACCAGTCACGGGTCATGCTCAAAAGCACCACAATATATATTTTAGATTCGAACGTACAATACAAATACAAGGCGCCGCTCATCCTCAGCCCATCGCGAACGCCGACACAACATGGTGCCATTACGCCCCTCCTCCCTCCCTTCCCCTTTCTGCCCCTCGACAGAACAAAACAAAACAACAAAAAGAGACTCTACAGTAACGTACACTATACCCGATACATACATACACACAAAACACTAAACATGAAAATGAACGATGAACACTGTTCCATAAATAAGACAAAGACCAAGGATTCTAGAAATGCGATGAAAGACGCGATGAAATATCAAAACGAGGATATGGCATATCTAGATACATATAACGGATCGAATTCGTGAGTTGATCGTTGGCGTGATAGGTCGTGAGCGTGAAATTGAGATTGAGATTGATTGGGATAGTGAATTGTGATTGCGTGGTTTTTATGGTTCTTCCTTCCCTTGCGTTGATTGCTTGCTTGTTTGTATGTGGGAGGGGAGCAGTTACTGCTCGTACCCTCCTGGGCCTTGTAAGGAGGCCATCCAGATCCTTGTTTTATACAGCCTATGCACCACATAAGTAAACAAGCGCAGAGATACACGGAAGAACGCACCGGAATAACTCCCGAACGAGCTCCCGGAAATCGATGCGTTTTTCAGCGATAAAGTAAAACGTGAGTTTACGTCGGTCCCTGCGTTTCATCAGTCTACTTGTCCCTCCTCGCACAAACGCAACGCACCATTGATACTCCGCATCGATAACCTCCATAGGGAGTTTCTTCTGCCGGACTTTACTCTGGCAAAGTTGCAGCGCCTTGAGTTCATCTTGCATCTTCGTCACCAAATGCCTACATCGCCATCAACAACCGCACTCCCAAACCACAAAACACTCACTGAGTATCATGCCCCTGCGCCTTCCCATAAATCATCTTCGGATTAATTTCCTTCTTCCCCGCACCCCCCGCACCCCCAGCAGCACCCCCAGGACTCATCGGCCCATCTCCAAACGCAACCCTCTCCTTCTGCTCCCTCTGAAACGCCTCCACCTCCTTGAGCGTAATACTATCATTAACAACCTTTCCCAAATCCTTCCCTCTATCCGCTTCTACAATCACCAGATCCCCAACTCGGATATCAAGGCTTAGATCAGTGAGGTAGAAGAGATCCGTACGGCCAGCTTTGAATTCGACTATAAAGAGTGGCCAGGAGGCTGGGACGCTGCTTAGGGGAACGCCTTTGCCCAGGTCGCTCAGTGACGGGGGTGCACTTGCGTCGCTGGGACGACGTTGGATTTGGTGGTAATAGGGACCTTGTTGGGGTTGGATTGGGCGGGAGGTTGTGGGAGAGAGCGCGCCTTGAGTTGAGCTGCGTGTGAAACTCCCGTTGTGGGTGCTTTGAGGAGGGAGGTATTGGATCCCCTGCCCTGGGATGAACCTCGCAGTAAGTTGTTGCCCATACTGCGCCTCCAGAATCTGCTGATCAAAATGTCCCCGCGGGGGGCTTCCACCCGTCGAAAGCCCGCTCTCGCTCGGAGACCCGAATTGTTGGCGGGAAGCGAAGCTCGTTCCACTTGGGATGTTGAGGTGGTATGGGCTTACGCGGTCTGATGAGGGTGGGCTGCGGGGGTAGATTGGGAGGCTGGATGGTTGGCTTGTGGTGGATGACGAGGAAGGCGCGACATGCCCGGGGTCTTTCATACTCATCATCCCGAGATCAGCAGCAAGATCATCATCCGAGAGCATAAGCCCACCCCTCCCACCAAAAGGCTGCGCCCCAAACCTCGAATGCCCATGCGAATCATCCCCAGCATTACTTTCCGGCGCATTAAACCCCACAATGGTAGGTCTCCTGGGTTGAACGACGCTAACGCTGTGTCTCCTACTAGTAGTCCCACTGCCCCCTCCACCATTCTCATCCTTTGGAGGGTTCATCCCAGCCCATAGTTCTCGAAACGCAGACCCATCATCAAGAAGGATCTGTCCGACGTCACGGACAAAAGGACTCATGTTCGATACGTCGATAGTGTTCCTATTCGGATACCCGTTATCAGCAAGCGGGGACCTGCCCATAGCGCCAAGACTTCCATAGCGACTACTAGCAGGTGGCTTGATCTCGCCATACCTCGACCCAGGGATATTAAGCGGGTTGGAATTGGGATTAGCGGATTCATTCCAGAGGCCTTGGTTTTGGTATGGACTAGAGATTGGACCGGGACGAGTGGTGGCGAGACTTTGACTGCGGCTACGGGTGAGATCGGGGGCGTAGGTGCGGCCACGAGAAGTAGGTAGGTAATGTTCGTCATAGGTATCTGAAAGCGCCTCTGACTCATCATCTTCGAACGTACTCTCGAAATGGCTTTCGCGGAGGGCAGAGCTATAGTTTGATTGGGGGTTTGAAAAGGATGAACTGCGTGTGGGTACGCTCATTGGGAGACCGGTTGTTGTTCGGGTTGGTTGAAGCATTCGTGGTGATGATGATGATGACCAAGGAGATGATATTGAAGATGGGGAGGAAGAGTTTGGGAGTAGTGTTCTTGGTGGTTGACTTGTAGCGCGTTCCCTTCCAGAATTATTGAGATCTGGGTCAAGGAAACGATGTCTGCGATTAAAATCGAGCTCGTCAGCTGGCAGGTGTTGCATGACAGCTGGCAGTGCACGGCCGCGGTCTAAGTAAAAAAAATCAATCAAAACTGTTACTTTAAACCGTAAACATCAATCGTCAAAGTACTCTTCTCAATTAAAACGCACCACCGGTTCTACAACTTATCCAAAAACCTCTATTGTAGCCTGGCGGTTGTTTTTTTAAAAAAAGACAAAAAGAAAAAGCGAAAAGGCTGTCCTATTCCTCGGAGCTCGGACGAGCCCTTTTGACATAACTGGTCACGAGCTCGATCACGTCGACTAACTTTTAAAAAAATTAATAATACATCCCTTTCAAATAATTATTCCCGTCAAGTAAAACCTCCCGCGGATTGACATGTAGTGCTTAGCCAAGGCCCCCGTGGGGTCAAAATCTAGATCACGATCTCGATCAATCACCACACACCGCCGAGTTCATACCTCGAACACGACGTCTACAGCACTGAATGCTGTGTTCCCTGGCCATACAACCACTGGGACGTCGCATTCTACGATTTCAACTTGGACGTCCCTCCAGTCCTCCTCTGTCTCGGTTTCTTTTTCTTTTCCGGAAGAAGAAGAAGGCACCTCCTCTTCGTCATCGATATCATCCCCATCATGATACTCCCTCTCCCCAGTGCCAAGGAACGAACTCATGAGATAAGCACTCCAGCTCTGACTCTGTTTCGCCTCCTTCCCACTCCCAGGTGAAACCACGCTCGCTGCCTGTACTTGTGGTTGTTCTTGTTCTTCAGGTGCGATCCCAGCAGGCGCACGCCACGCACTTCCCCACGCAGTCGGCGCCCCGTCCCTAGTCAGCCCACGCACCCGTGCGTTCGGCCTCGTCACTCCCACTAACAGCGTGAGGTGTACTTTCCACGTCAATCCTCCTGCCTTCCCAGATTCTGCACTGGAACCGGAACCTGAAAGGACAACTCCGAATCCAGGACACGCATCGCTGGGTATATCAAGTGCAAACGTCGTGCGAAGGGTGCTGCCCGTGAAAGACGCATGGTGTTCTGCGTGGATGCGGCGCGTGGTGTTTGGTGTGAGTGTGGCTGGGAGGCTTTCGTTCGTTTCTAGAGTTGCGCTTAGCTGCTTGTAATCAGTCGATGCAAAAAAGTAAAATGGATAAGGGGAAACGCACAGAGATGACTTTTCCCCGTCCATCTCGTTCATTGATCTCAATGACGCCTAGGACCGTTTCTCCGAGACGATAAGCGCTCTTTGTGAATGTGAGAACTGCGACTTTGATCCCGTCTTTCGTTACGTCGTAAGAGACTGTCAAGGTAAAATGAGCAACGTAAACAGGGAAACGTTATGTATAGGGGGAACGATGCACACCTTTCTTAGGATTCCTCGTCAAAATCTCAACAGCCTCTCTACACCCGGTCAATTCCCCCTCTCCCTCCCGTTCTCGTTCTCGTTCTCGTTCCCGCTCAAACGCCCTCAACGGATCTTCTGTGCTTCCAGATCCAGAAGCAGACGAAGAAGAAAGATTCTCAGGCACGCTCTCAGCAGGTTCCTTGATCCGTACGCCTGTAGATCCTTCTGCAGGGAAGGTAGAGAGTAATCGTTCGCCGTAGGCACGTAGGTCGTCTAGTGAGCCGCAGGGCGTGGATGTTGGAGCTGCGCAATCTTAATTAAATTCTGTGCTGCGTTGAAAAAGAGGGAGACATACAAAGCTTTGACAATTCCTTCTTCCCATCAACACCGTCCCCGGCGCTGCCTATATCTAGGACTTTACCACCGTCGGGCTTACGCACGGGTGAGAGGAGGTCGTAGGGGCGTTGTGGTTTGCCCACTGCGAGGCGTTAGGATGGGATGGGATGGGATGAGAGGATGGAATGTGCTTACCGCTGACCCAGTTGTATACCCTGATAGGGACTTTCATAACCCTGCTGACTGTTATACCTGTCCCGGTCCCTGGTCCGCTGTCGCCTCGGCGGCAGGTACCGACGACTAGCTCGTATGAGAAGCGGATCATGCGACCTCGGAAGGTGGGAGGGAGGGTGGAGGGGAGTGGGAGGGTATATGTGTCTATAAGTATACGTCAGGAGATGTTTTGGAAATGCAGCGGAAACACTCACAAGTCCGACTCTCGCCAGGGCTCAACGCCAAATCAACAGCCAACATGGCAGGCTGAACTTCAAAGACAGGGAGGGGCATCTCCTCTTCCCCATCTTCCCCAATCACCCCAGTGCCTCCTACATTCAACCCCAACCCCAAACCAACACCCGTAGTAGATACATCACTCTGCGAACTCAATGAAGGCGCCCTAGAACGTCCAACAGAAGGGGAGTAACTCGAAGGACTGAGCAAAGACAACAAGGAACCCGTAAGTGAAGCTGAACGCGAATGCGGACCCCTAGTACTCGTACGGTTACGCGCGATATCCATACTTCCCCCACCCAACACCGGTTTTCTGAGGAGCTGCGCGCGGAGGGTGCTCAGTGCTGTGGAAGGGGCTGGAAGGGGTAGTACATGGGCTGTTCCTGAGAGTTGGGCGTAGGAGTATAGGAGGAGTGTTGTATTGGGTGGGAGTGGTTTTGGAGTTGTTGATTTTGGAGGGATTGGGAGGGGTGGGTGACCGTGACCGAGTGTTGGGTGTATTGATTTGCGGTGTGAGGATGGGTAGGGGCGTGGGGGGTAAGAGTGGTCCTCGGTGAGTGAGGGAGTGCGTGGGAGTGGTGTTGGTGGGCTAGGTGATTGGGGTGTTTCTGCGATAGGATCTAGTGCAACTGTGAATGTGCTAGTTGAGGTGGATGGAGACGGTTGTGGTTGGACATCGTTTAATTGGAGATGACCGTCGAATACAGATTGTTTACGTGCATGGGGATGACTTTGAGGAAGTGGGAAGGAAGTCCGTTGGACTACTAGCAATCGATTAGAACAAGTTTGAGATAATGAAGAAGACTGACCTGGTTCTACTTCATAAGCTTGTACATACTCTCCGTCAAGGATTTCTATGCTCGCACTGCGCGCATTCTCCTTGACCTTCTCCAATGCACTACGTCTTGCTTCAAGCACCTCTTTCCCTTTCCCCTTTCCATTTACATATTCAACATTTCCAATCAACCCCTTCCTCCCCTCTTCCACAATCCCAAGTCCCAGCGCCCTCACAAAATCAGGTGGACGTGGACCCAACCCAGGCGACGTCGGTGGTCTAGCAAGTGGGGCAGAGCTTATAGAATGTGCATTTCGTTTGTGTGATTTCTGTACAGGCGCAGATGCCGGGTTGGATGTGCCGTTTGGTGAAGTGAGACGGGTATTTGTAAAAGTGATAGATACGCTAAATGATTCGCCTGCGAAGTAAGCGCTTTGAGATGGAGAGACTTGAACGCGGATGGAGGGGTCTATGTGTTCGTCCATACCGTCAAGGTTAAGGAAGATTCAATGATATACTTACTTATAAGTTGTAGCGTGGAGACTATAAAGTAATTTTACTCCTGCGAGTCTTACTCCGACTATTCCACACCGATGAGAATTAACCATATGCTCCTTCCCCATGGTAGTCAACCATCACGATCTATCATAGCATTTGTATACACTGGACATACCCATGCCTACCACAGTGTACCACACGAATTCAACAGACTGCGACCACGTTTGTCGATCTGAGATCTATCATAGGTAGACGCTTGTTTGGTCTTGCTTTGTGGCGTTTGACCATTCTCCCTCGATCGATCAACTTGAATTTGTACCGCACGTTTCTTACGTGGCGCGTCTTAGTACTTTCATCCATCCTTGCTTACTGCTTGCTCATCTCGTCCGTACGTGCCATCGTCTCTAACCCTTTGATATCAGAGCATACCAGGAGAGAAGACATCGCTCACTTGATCGTCATTTCTTGCTGGCCGCATTATCTCTTCATATCTTCACAGCGATAAGGCTCCAAGTCGAGTCTATCATCTTACTTTTATCTCATCCATCGTACGACACCAATATTTGGTCTTCTACTCATCTCGCCGTTGCCGCTTACGCACTATCACGCTCATTTACTAAATACCTTTCATATCTTGCTTAAACAGTTAAAATGATCATGAGATGGGCTTGATATCGATGGCACGCCTTCGAACAACGATCTGTTATTATATCGTTGATTCCCAGACGTTTTTATCACTTGCTTCAACCATCGATCTCGCCTTTTTTTGACCTCATACCAGTGGTACGCTGCGATCTCCAAGTCTATATACCACTACTCATCTCGCCGTCGTCACCTGCGCACCACAGATCGAGCCTTGAACAGTATACCCTCATCTGCGTGTGCCTTCTAATATTTTCGAAATGCACCTGCAGATGGGCTTGATGTTGAATGTTCCTCATGCACACAATCGAGCGATGTACAGCATGCAGTTCGTTGTTTTGATTCCATAACTAGATGTTTTATTCAATTCAATTAATCTCGCCTACTCCTTTGCATAGCGCTCACGCTAGCGTCTGCGTCATGAGTAGAGTACATTGTAGCATTGATACATTATTTTCATTTTCTGCGCAGTGAAGAAACAGTACTAGTACTACCGCGGTAGCGCTTACATGTACAGCGACAACTTCATTAGTCACGAGTAGAGCAGATCAACAATAGCATTGATTTTCCCTTGAGAAAACAGTACTAGTGTGAGCGGCTAGCAGATGGCGTGATCAGTAAAAGGCGCAGTTGACCCCACGGATAAAGACAAAAGAGGCAAAGTCGACATTTATCCCTGTCCTTGGGGTCAGCACAACAACCGGTGAGGGATTAGGCTAGCTTCCTCTGCCAGAGCCTGTCATCAGTGTAGGCATTTCCGTTGGAACGCTCAACCTCGGTGGCGGCACCTCCTCATCAATAGGTGGTAAAACATCAGGCGGAATCTTCAATATCCATACATCATGAAGAACTAGTACTAGTCGTCAGACACAATTGGTTCAAGCGTATGCAGAAAATCCATACTTGAGTGCCCTCGATTTGATTTCTGCGCAGTGAGCAAACAAATGTTGTGAGCGGCCACCAGAGGGTGATAAAGACGCAGCTGACCCCACGGATAGGGAAAAGGTCGACCCTCATTTTACCCTATCCTTGGGGCCAACACATCAGCCGGTGACGAGTCTCCGTACAAGTCTGCCATCAGCGTCGGCGAGTGACCAGCAGAGAGTGATGAAGACGCAGCTGACCCCACGGATGGGGAAGAAAAAAACGAGGCTGAATTATTTTCTAGTCCACCCTTGGGGCCAGCACGTCAGTTGATGAGGATTGCACTAGCTAGCTACCTCCGTCCGAGCTTCCGTTGGCGCGCTCAAGCTCGGTAGCGGCATCCGTCCACTAATTGGGTAGGTGAATCCATACAGCTATTGTCTAACACCTTGTTGGACACGATTTGCTCGAGTATAGAAAACTGATACGTGGATCTGAGTTTCCTACTTTCTGCACGGAGGAAACAGCGCATGGCGAGAAGAAGACGTGATGAAGACACAGTTGACCCTACGGATGGGAAAAAAAGAAAAAAAAGAGAATCCCGTTATTCCCATCCTTCAAATCAGCGCATCAGCTGGTGACGGATTGCGTTAGCCGCCTCCGGAGCTGGATTGTATTCTGGAGACAAATCGGAGGAGAACCCGAAAAAAATATGGTGGCGTGCTTGACAAAAAAGGTGTCAATCCAGCCTGGGTACAAAGATGTCAGTCTGAGCCTCGGTATCAGGAACTTGGTAGGGCTACTGACGGAATCTCAAGTTGTCGAAGGTATCGACTTCGAGTTGTTGTTAAGGCCTGCCCCCCGCCCAATGTAGCGGTGAGCTACACCGGATCGAGTCATACTGGTTTGAAAGAACGGACATCTGAGATCGCTAGTACTTGCTGCCATTGTGGGTTGGACGAGAAGGCATTTACGGTTAGTGGGGACAGTGACCAGCAGAGGGAGTGATAGAAGAGGCAGTTTAACCCCATGGATGGGGGAGAAAAATACGCGGTAATGTATTCTTTAGCTCATCCTTGGGGTCAGGCCATCAGCAGAATTCAGCTTATGACGGATTGCACTACCCGTCTCTGCAGCATCGTATTATGAATTCTGGAGACAAGGTAGAATTCGAAAAATTTATAATAGGGTAGTTTATCATGTTTTCTCACGGCTCCAATAATGAAGGACTTTAAGTCCTTGAAGTTGACGTTGAAATCTTGGGAAGCACTGAACGGCGAACGCGGAGACGGAGTATATTTTGCTGCAAAGAAAGTCTGAGGTATACTTCATCAGATTTTAAAGTTAACTAAGGGTGCAGCAGCAGCAAAACTTATCCAGGACGCCACCTGCCTAGTTAAGGGCGTATGTCTTTGCAGAGCTCCTTCAGCTCCCTAATATCCAGCGAATCGGTATGTTGTATCATCTCTGCTTGCTGCTCCTTATCTGTATTCCATGCCATGTACAAGCTGGCAAACAACGAGCAGCATGCGCCTTTCTTGTCCCTGCTGCAGCTACTCATTCTCGTATGGGACGTACAAACTTGGGACGTGATAGGTGACACGACCCGGGAGATGTGGTAAATAAAATATGAATATTAGAGTAACCACGAGACATCGCACAAATACAAGTAAGTATTTTCACTCTCATCAGCATACTTCTTCCCCCAGCTGTTAGTCTTCACTCCGCATATAGTGGTCGACCGGGCCCAGCGGTTGCTCCCTCGCAATATCTCCGAGCAACTGAGCGCCCGGCACGCCCGAGTTCTGTATGATTGCACCTTCAATTTCCGATGCCATCTTGTCCTGGGTCGCGAGGTTAGATTTGGTTGTGTGCTTGGACGTTGGAACGAGGTGCGCCAGTGATTTCGCAAGGCGCTGCGGGAGGCCAGTGTGCGAGCTCTTCTGTGGAGCCTTGTACGGGAAACCCCACTGCTCGTACGGGTCGCTCGAAGATTGGACATCGCGATCCGTGTCGCGCAGTTGCATGATGTACGGCTTTACACGTGGCTTCCAGAATAATGTGGAAAAGTACTGCGTCCGCTTCTTCCCGCTGAGCTGGAAGAAGATGTTGGTGGGTTGCCCCCGTGTGGCGAATACGAACTGCCAGGGGTGGTTTGGGGATGGTTCGTAAGAGCTGCCCCGTACGACATCCAGCAAGAAGAGAAGTCCATACGGAGAGACCGGGCGATGGGATTCGTGCGCCACCTGCACGAGCCACATTGTCGACGTGCTGTCATCGAACATGACTGCATCAATGCCTGGATGCATGAGCCCATGTTTTGGGGAGAGGAGAACCTGGGGACAGTTCTCTGCCAATGTTGCGAGTTCACGTTGTGTGGTGTATGTAGAACTTCGGGTCATGGCCCGCTGGTCCTTGGGCGCCACATGGATTTTTGTCCGTAGCACAAAGTCTTCGTTCGCCGGATGGCAAAGCCCCTGCAGATCAGGGCGCCCGAGCTTGAAGACCCCTCCGGATCTCGACATGAGGGCCACTACAGCGTGACGATAAAATATCTTCCCCGCCCCGTTCGTATCCTCTGATTTTAGCAGGTTGTCGGCAATCTCCTTCACGGCGGATGAGTCCATGGAGACGACCGCGTCCGCCAGGAGCTTACTAGCGACTTGTGACACGGGATATGGGAGCGGATCTGTGTATGGTGTTCCAGGTTCAATGGCGAAGAGGTTACGGCTGTTTCGGGCTTCTCGTTCGCGCAGTGTGGGTTGCATGCTCCAAAAATTCTCGTGGGCACGCTCTAACTCGTGGAGATAACGATCAGCATCACTGGAATGATGAGATGCTTGCAGACAGGAATGTGCGTTAGACCCGAAGTGGGTATACGACCATCGTAGGGACTCGACAGCATCCTGTCCTGACGTGAGAGCACTAACGAGAATAGTCAGTGATAATATTGAGAACTAAGATGTGATAGATTCATTCACCTCATCGCAAATATCTCGTCAAATGTGCACGGTTTCATGCACTGCCGATCCGCGAAATCGTACTCGGGCACCCATCTGATGTCGAGACCCAGACTGTCTGTCCAGAACGTAGTGAAGATGGCCTTGCCGCATGTGCCCCGCATCAACACACGAGTGTGCTCGGTGCTCGGGTGCGTGTCGGTGTCTTGACTTGCGCTGTCTATGAGGTGCAGCACGTCTTTACGTTGGAATAGGGGGTGGTACTCGCTGTTCTCCTGTGGGAGAGCGAAAAAGCCGTCGGGGGTGAAGCACAGGACGGGCGCGTCCGATTCATCGATCTGGTAGGTTACAGGCTGGCGAGCGAGAAGTCGCCTGACGAGGACGTATGACAGGAAATATGTCTTCCCTAAGGGTAATTGGCCGGATCAAGCAGCGGCAATCGAGGAAGGACGTCGACTCACCGATACCAGCGGATCCATGAACAATAAGATTGCGCTCACTCCAGGAGAACTTGTTAAACAAGCTCTCATATACCGAGCGGATGACCATCGATGTTGATCCGCTTGGCAACTTGGCACCGGGGTGTTCAGATAGATCAATGGCGTGGAAGGAGCATGGGTGGGCCCTGTTTCGGATCCCTTAGCATCATTTCAAGTTCTATGGAAAAGAATCAGGCTCACAGTTCTTTATCCTCTAGATCTGCAACGTTGCACTCCAATCTTCGCACAACAGAATGGTCTTCCTGTTGCCACAGGGCATGATAGAGTGCTAAGAGGTTGGAGTGCGATACCGACAAACTTGTGGTAGCAGTAGATGACATGGTAGTCTGCATGATGGATTTGGATGAAGATGGAGGGCGTGGAAGCAGTCGTCGTTTAGTCGTTGCGGCATTTTCGGATGTGACGGATGGACGGATGTCTCGTGACATCATTGGGAGTTGGGGTGTTTACTCGATGTTTACTTGTATTGAATCGTGAAGCTGCTGAATAAGCAAACCATTTGACGGGATGCATAGAATGTCTACTTCAAGTTACGTCGCACACGAGCTGTTTAGCTATAATGAAGACATAACCTTGCACTACCAACGTCACGCAATTATATGCCTGTAATCACCGTTTGAAGTACTGACAGATAGATGGGCAGAAGAGTGAGGGCTTTGTCGCCGAGTTTCTGAAGTTTTTGTGCAGGGTTTCAAACGACAGTGGGGCTGACCCGGCTGAGTATGAGCTTGCCAGGTGCAATCACAGTAATCAATATCTTCACATCATCGAGGTTGATGTAGCTTTCACGATCTTCCTGAATAATTTGTCAAAGTTTGACCTCAGGATTTCAACAAGGGAGGCATCTCTGTGCACATGAGTCGCGAGAGGCTAATGACTTTGTTGCGTATGAGGCGCAACTGGTTTTATGGTTATGCGATGTTGCGGGTTTGTCCTTGAGTTCACTTCGTGGCTCACGTATCTTTTGTGGATCGTGAAACTCCATTCAGACTACTCTTGGAGTGGTTCTTGCAAGTTTTTGTTTGTTGAACTCCTTTGTGGAGTGACGTCTTCTACGAAGTTAGGATCTGTGTTTGCCGTCGGGCCAGCTGCAGGTTGCTTAAGAATGATTGTCACTAATGTTTTAGATTCAACCATCCTCGAGCAATATCTGTATAAATGTCGAGATAGACATTAACATATATTACTTCCTACTATGTCCCTCTTCCGCCCTCCTTCCGACATGCGAATAAACCCATATCAGGTGTCTGACTGTCAGTTGATTAACTGGAATAGAGTGCGCAATTAATGATAAAAACATCAGTACTACTATCGACTGTAATACACACGTGACAGCCCGAGGATGTCACTCAATATTTAGCAAAAAATTGAACAAGACGGGCATCTAGGATCTCAGCGTGTAATGGTCATCTGTTGACTCTACTACCTTATCGGTTTCGAGGGTGGCTCAGGGTAGGTGGATGTCGCCCGAAACTGGATGGTCCTGGAGTGCGTTCAATCTCTGGTTGGTCGAACTCCGGCACAAAGTCACACAGGAGCCTCGTGTTCAACAAGATGAGCGCCCACTGGTTGTTCGGTTGCATTCCACCACCACCACCACCATCCAACGAGCTTACCTAGCTCTGCAACCGATTCGAATATCTATCCATTCAATCCAAGCGGCCTTCAAACATTACCATCTTCATCACTCCACAGCTTGCTCGTTTCGTTGTCCAGTCCAATACCGTCGAATACAGTGACTGGATATAGCCTGACGCCCAAGCATAGTTTCTTCGACCTTACCCGATCTCAAAAGATGAAGTTACAGTTTAGGCTTGTATTCTTCAATCAATCGTACGTCGTCCCTCGTGATAGCCGTCGCCCATAAGATTTCCAACCACACTGTCGAACACAACTAGTACTTTCCCGAGGATTGCGTCACGTTTTATCATCAATCTTTGTCAATGAGTCAGTGTCAGTATCTCTTTCTCTTATCCCCTTTCGCAGTCTGACCTCATCAACAGTCCATCAATCATCTGAAGGACCTTGGGAGAAGCTGTCTCGGGTCGCTGTCCTGGGTGTTGAATTTGATGTTTGTTATCGATGCCCTTGATGAATGTAAACCCGAAACCGTCGCTGAGCTGATCTCCCTGCTTGGCCAAGCTCTTCGTGATCCTGATCTTCCCGTGATCCACATTCTACTCACGAGTCGCTTGGAAGAGCATATCCGTAAAGCCATCCAGAAAGAAGACATGCGCTCGCTGGTGTGCGAAATACCGGTGAACACTTCTGGAGAGGGCGTTTCTTGCACCATCTCATTAGACGGCGAGGATGTCGATAACGACATCTATATTTTCTTGCAGCATTCCTTCACGGAGCTGCAAAGTCGCCATCCTGATTTCCCGCAGCCCACCGCAGATAAGCTTGCTCGGCTAGCGAGCCGAGCAGGCAGACGTTTCATCGTGGCGACTACGATGATGAAGTTTATCGATGATGGATACAATGATCCCCGGGATCGGCTTGAGCTCTTGCTCGAGCTAACGAGTGAATTGCTGCCAGGAACGGAGGTGTACAAGTTATATGATCGCATCCTTTCCACATGTGCAAACCCCAAGCGAGCATACCTGCACTTGTCCGTTGTCGCGGCCCTTGCTAATCCTCTGCTGATTTCACAGATCTCCGAACTTCTTGGGCCTGGTCAAGGCATGGACGTTGAGACAACACTGGTGCAGCTACGGTCTATCATGAATATTCCTACCGACAGCAGCCTTCCCGTGGATATCTATCACTCGTCTGTTCGTGACTATGTTTCAGACCCCTCAAACTGCCGCCTGTCCGAAGTACAGTCGCAGGCATTTATCTCAGCCCACTGCCTACTCGCCGAATGCTCTTTCCGCTCGATGGTGCGAGACATTCCAAAAAGCACGGCCCTTCTGGATGCGCTCCTAGAATTGAAGGAGCGCAGCCAAACTATGCAAACCCACGACCCCCAGAGTTTACAACAATTATTAGCCTTCGTCGTCGAGCCACTAGAACGACTGTATGTTCTTACGGGTCTGCTATGGCTTCGGGGAGTTCGCGGTCCGGGTTCGCGGTCCTGGCTAGAAACCCTGGATGGACGTGCATGGCTGCAGACCAAAGGAGGGGATGACTGGTTTCGGACGGAGGAGGGGGAGAACTGGCTGCCCACTCGCAAGGGGGGGAACTGGCTGCAAACGCACGCGGGGAACACATGGCTGCAGAGTGGAAGAGGGTGGCTATGGGCTCAGAAATGGCGACAAGTCGCTGGACACTCTGGCGAGCCAAAATGGCTAGACACCCAGAGCGAGCGAGAGTTGCTGGAGACCAACGGAGGGCAAAGGGGGTTGGAGACGGAGAGAGTTGCTGGAGACCAATGGAAGGCAAGAGTTGCTGGAGACCAACGGAGGGCAAGAGTCACTGGAGATCCAGAGAGAGTCGCTGGTGACCGGTGGAGGGCAGACCTACGGTGGGCAACAGTGGCTGGAGACCAACGGAGGGCAAGAACCACTGGAGATCCAGAGAGTGTCGCTGGTGACCAACGGAGGGCAGACTTACGAAGGGAAATGGTTGCTGCCTCCCGGGAGAGGGCAACAGCAGCTGCAGACTGAGGGAAGGCCATTGTGGCTGGAGATCAAGGAAGGGCAATGGTGGCTGGAGACCGAGGAAGGGTAACAGTGGCTGGAGACCGAGGGAGGGCAACAGTGACTGGAGACCGGGGGGGGGGGGGGGGGGGGGGCGAAACGGTGGCTGGAGACCTATGAAGGGCAACAGTGGCTGGAGACCGAGAGAGGACAGCAATGGCTGGAGACCGAGAGAGGGCAGCAGTGGGTGCAGACCGAGAGAGGGCAACAGTGGATGCAGACCTATGGAGCGCAACAGTGGGTGCAGACCGGGAGAGGACAACAGTGGCTGCAGACTGGAAGAGGGCAGCAGTGGCTGCAGACCCACCACGGGCAAGAGTGGCTACAGACGTCCCATGGTCAAGCATGGCAGATGACTCCAGCAGCATCTGTCTGGGTAACAATTCTCGAGCACATTGGAAGCCATCAGCGAGTACACAATCGTCCCAGAAATACCTTTACGGTCAGCTTTTCAAGTCATCGAATAGTTCAAGAATTTGCCGGATTTCTTGGGCTTTCCGGCATGATAAGTCTGATGCGATTCGTGTACGGCTAGGCCAGCCGGATGTTGAGCGTTACTTGATCCGATAATCCTCTATCTTCAGTTAGTGATGTTCCGGCCCGGCTTGGTTCGAAAGCCGCGGCTTTGGCTTGGCTTCAGACGGCTTGGGCTTGCAAAAAATCCAGGCCGGGCCAAAGCCACCGGTGACAGCTGGCTTTGGCTCGGCTCTGGCCTGAGCCGCGGCCCTAGTACTGTAAATGTAAAATTGCGAGTATGGGTTGAGATATGAACTTGAAGTACTCACCTGTGCAGTGGGAGGGGAAGTGTGATGGGCCAGTGGGAACTGGCCGGGTAGAACACGAGGCCGTGCAACAGTCATGACTCCGGGAGTGACTCAATGAATGCCCGATACCTATGCCCGACTTCTTTATCAAATCTCGACTATGCCTGACCCATTAGGGCGCGACGATGTACTCAGACTGTTTTCCATCGTGCCACTGTTGGGCGACGAGTTTATCATACTGTGTGGGACATTCCTCCACGACAGCGCAACAGAAACTCCCCGGAACAACTACCTGATCTCTGCATCAGTCCGGATACACGGCCTCTCGTAGAAACGCCACCCAATTGATCCATCTATCCATTCGAACTGTCTTGAAGGACAAATTTTTGGCAGTCGATAAGATGTGCTGCGACGCTCCTGTCTTTTTGCAGTGCTTACCATTTGTCGTCTCCGGGACCTGCCGAAGAGCGCGATGCCCCCAGCAACATGTCACGATATCGAATTTGGGCCACGTGCAATACAACGCCCATGTCGCAATCCATCTACAGCAGATTCTCATTTTACAACTCTTGTATTTCGCGTGTCCTAGCACGAAACAATGGAAGAGGTGAGCCCACTGAGTAGTGTATGGCCGAAGTATATGCTGATGTTTTTATTAGCATGAGTGACCGGATCGACCGCCTTTGCGAGGCACTGAATCCGCCCTTGTTCATTCAAGGTTCCCTCGTGGACCTCGATTTGACCCTCATTCCGCATGGTTCAGCTGGCCTGAGGGTGGTGAAGAACTGGACTCGCGAGTTCTTGTATAAATTGGACCCGTTCCAGAGCCCATCCCCATTTTTGACGACGTTGATGAGAATCAACAGTCTCATTTTTGCTTTTGACAGGAATGATGCTCCCGCCTACATTGCTCAGGCAAAGTGTGTCGCCCGAAATATATCCACCACGCTCCTTCTCAAAGCAGATAATCGCTACTTGGTGCTCGACATGCTTAATTTGCACCGAGGAGTTACTGAAAGCAGTATATCTTCGGGAATTCTGTATCTACAGTGAGCTCGTGCCTTGCTTCATATATATGTGCTAAGTGCTCCCCAAGCATTTCCTCGACCACCGTTTAAGCGTCAATCTGTCCGTTCTATGCGACTACATCGAGGATATCCTCTCCTCTTTCGTAATAAATCACAGAATGGATCCGAACCTTCCACTTGATGGGGTTGTTCTTCCATCCAACTGGTTGATCTTCCCCCACAAGTTTTCTGCGAATAAATGCATCTTGCCGGAGTCAGTAGGAGTGCTCTTCGATGCGATGGGGAATCTTATAGAGATGTTGCGCACGGATGCTGGCACGGGTAGAGTCCCTGCACACTTTGCAAACTGTCTAATGCTCATGATTCAGTATATTTTCTCTGGCTTGCACATACATATGTTACACTGGTACTTCGCAGTATTTTCATATTCCGGCTGTAGGTCCAGTTTATCTACCCGTGCACAACGATCCATGTTAGAGTTTGGCGTTCCACCCTTCATCATCGTTCATTGTTCGGATAGTCCCAACTACGTATATATACCTACGTTGTAGACCATCCTCTCCTTGTCGTCTCCCGCCATGTCGTAGACACACGATACAGTGTTGTTCTCCAGCTCCAACAATCCACTCACTCTACACATCCACAGTTACAGGACTCTCTGCCTTGGTGCGTCTGCTTTAAGCCCTTCATAATGCAAGCACCCCTTATAATTTATTGTAACAGTCGCTCACAACACAAAGGACCTTATGATCAAGCGCAAAGTAAACTCAATCGTGCTTCATCTGCACAGAACTTAGAAGTCCTCCGCCTTGGCACCCTGCGTACTGCCGAAAGCTCGTGGACGGCGTAGTCCAGCATCGTGCATTCTTGTCAGGCAGAGGAATCCTTCGATTAGATGGCTACCTGCGAGCTGTTCTTGCGTTCGATAACTGCAATGCCGCGAGTGATCTAGTCCACTTAGTCCACAAGATGACGCCCCAACCTACTCGAATCTCTTCGGTGCGACAACTGTACGACAAGGCCAGTGAAATTCCCTATCTTCTTTCTTCCCACACAGTCGCTGCGCAGTCTACTCCGAGGGTGGAGGTAGCCGCCTTCGTGCCTCGCGTACAGCGTCCCGAAGATGATATAGAGATTCACCAAGACCAGAAGGAGAACTTAGAACCGACACCTCAAGAGTCCGATAGAGAGGGGGCGGAGGAGGAAGATGTCTCAGTGGAAGTTGATACCGAGGCCACTGATGACATAGAAAATATGGAGGAGGCGGTTGCATCCATTGACGCTGTGCTAGACGAGTCCCTTCACTCCAACGGGCCATCGGAAGAGCAAGAGAGCAAGATTCAGAATGTATATCGCCGTTACCTTCGACATTGCTCGAGCCCTGCGTTGGATGCAGAAACTGAGGTGATATTCATGACATGCCTGAAGGAGACGCAGTCCTCTGGATGGAGTCCGGGTTATTACCGCCTCCATTTCCTTGGTCCATTTTTTTTTTTTGTTTCCAATTTTTTGTCCATTGAGAGTGATACTCTATGTAGGACACTACTATCTAGTCATGGAGCCCCGTGCTCCGCCCCTTTGTCACATCCCCAAATGCACTGGTGTAAGGCATACCCCACCAGTCCGCCGTTCCTGCCGGCCGTTTTAGATGGGCGATGTGTAAGACTAGGGAGCGACTGTATATAAGATTACGTGGTGAGAGGTCTAACGTGAAAGCTATAACGCATGCTCGGCCGCTTGCACGGACCAAACAGAGATCAATGAGGTGCGCAGTAAAAATATAGTAGGTGTAGTCCTTGGGACATGAAAGTGGCAGCGTGCTTCCGGGCTGGGTGGAGAGGTTGGCGGGCATCCAGCGTGTTGGTGAGGAGTGTTTCTACTTGTTACTGACTTATTTCCCAGGGCTGAGCCGGAGATCTCGTGTGTACGAGCGGTATTAAGTGATTAGTCGGGGCTAAGGTACCGAATAGGAGAAGAGATTAGCATATTTTGAATAAGGTACAGCAGGATGTAGTCTTGATTGCGTTCTATGTGTGTCTTGCTCGCGTTGGGAGGGAATCTGGGCAGGGGGTGTCAGGCTGTTCATGTGGTGGGCATCAGAATTTCACCTAGCGTGGACTTCAAGTGGCCGGTCTTGTTGACGTATCTAACTAGGTGGGGGATGGCATCAAGGTCGGATAATAGGTGCAATAGGGAGGTGGACTTCCATCCCATCACCTGAGCTAGCACATGGCGCTCTGGCCGAAATTGTGGGCATACAAACAGATAATGATGGACAGTTTCTTCGGTTTGCAGGCAGTGGGGGCAATCTGGTGAGGCTACTTTTGTGAGTCGGAATAGGTGCTGGTTCAATGGTAGGTGATGGGTGCGCAATCCGATAATGAGACCGGTGAGGCGTTTTGAGAAGGAGGATGTGAGTTTGATGAAGGAGCATTTGAGAATAAGAGGGTCTATGTGCTGTAGGCGTTGATAACAGGGGGAGGTGGACCACTGCCTGGCCCATCTGGCGCTGGTATGTACCCTATGAGCTTGCTTGATTGCTGATATGCTAAGCGGTAGTGAATCATTGCGGAGGTAACGAGGGAGACACGCATGGGGACTACTTCGGTGCCTCCCTTCCGCTGCTATTTTGGCTGCCTTGTCGGCTTCCTCATTTCCGTGAACCCCTTCGTGACCAGGGACCCAGAGGAGTGTGGCGTTGAAATCTGGATTAATGTGTTTGACTCTGTCCATCATTCTCTGAAACTTGGTCGCTAAATAGGAGCCTGGATTGGAGTAGAAACTCTCACCGGATAAGATGGCAGCTTGGTTGTTGACCAATATAGACATTGGGAAGATGAGATCTTGTTCAGTGGCGACGAGCTTGGCCACTAAGGTGAGACCGACCATCTCCGCTTCGAATATGGTGTGCTCCTCATCTGTTCCCAGGTAGTAGTGGAGGGTGCGGGGACGCCGACCTGCACGAAACAATATTGCTGCTGCTCTGATGTTGCCATCATGTCCTGAGCCATTGCTGTAGACTTGGATGCTGTCCTGTAATTCTTGATGTTCGGTGATGGCCTCTTCTCGGGAGCTAGCGATGTGCGTGGCATATGGGCAGGAGGAGGTGGGTGCACGTCGAGCTGGGATGAGGGCTTCAATTTCATCAGGCTTGAGGCGGAAGAAGTGGGTGAGTCGATGAAGGGAGGATCGATGGGACGAAACAAAGCGCTTAGCGGCCGTCCTAATTGCATTATGGAGAGGGTGGGTGTCTGGGTGAGCGGCCATTCTGATTGTGGCACGATGACAAGCATTCTGGAGCAGCAGGGGAGAAGGTTGGCATGCACCTCAAGGATGTCAGTGGCAGTGCTTCTCATAGCACCCATCATAGCTATGGCAGCAATGCATTGGATGGAGGTGAGTTTCTTGGCTACTCCTAAGGAACCTCTTTGCAGCGTGTCAGTGCCCTCACGGAAGGCCGGTGTGAACCATAAGTCCGCCGCATATAACATCTTGGGGACCGCTGTGGCTAGGTATAGTTGCCTCATGAGGCGGAGCGGGATACCTTTGGACATGGTGGACAGATGTTGGAGCTGCGGGACATATGCTAGGCCCTTGGCCAGTGCATTGTCTACTTGAGCCTTCCAGCGCAGTTCTTGGTCGAGGATGATGCCCAGGAACCGGTGGGTGGGAGATGGGCAGATGACAACTCCATGGAGATGCAGTGCTGGGTGGTCGCATTTCCTGTTCATTGAGAAGTCAATCAAGGCAAATTTGTTAGTTTCGAATCGGGAGTTGTGGTCCCTTGACCAATCAAATCCTCTGCCTGGACATTCCAACATATCCTTAAGGATGCAATGGGTTTCGGTGAAGTCCTTACCTATGGCCACTAGGGCTGTGTCGTCGACAAAGGCGAGAGTGAGTTCTACAGGGGATGCACAGCCCAGTCTAGGCTTGGCAATGTCTACTAGGTCAGCGCTATAAATAATGTACAAGATCATTGAGAGCGGGTCGCCCTGCCCTATGCCGTTGTCGATGTTGATCCAGTCTGAGGTGTATCTGTTGAAGTGTAGTTGGGTCTTGCGATCGGTGAGGACTTGCTTTGTAAACCTGATTAGTTCAAGCAGTAGTCGGTGTGTCCGCATGTTGTGAAGCAGGCGTTTGGTGACTGCGTTCGGGAACGCGCCCTCTATGTCCAAAAAGAGGATGGAGGCGACTTTGTGCGATTGCCAGGCGTTCTTGATGGTATGTTCTAATAGGTGGAGGGAGTCAGTGGTAGATCGTCCAGGGCGACTGCCAAAGTGAGTGTTTGGCAGCAGGTGATGATGTTCTAATAAGTATGTTAGTTGATCCGCGACAACTGTGGTAAGCAATTTGCATGTGGTATTAAGTAAAGCAATGGGTCGGTAAGCCTTTGGAATAGTGTAATTCGGTTTGCCTGGCTTCCGGAGAACAACTGTCGTGAAGGTCTTCCAAGGGGCATAATACATATGATATGTGAAGATGGCATTAAAGAGATGAACTAGATATGGGGTTAATAGGTCGGAGCATTGTATGAATACAATGTTCTGGATGCTGTCAGGCCCCAGAGCTTTGTATTTGCTTAGCTTGGAGATAGCACGGGTGATCTGGTCTGAGGAGATGGGTGTGTGAGGGGCTACAGAGTCAGGGTATGTGAAGTCGGTAGGGACAGAGTTGGTGATGGGAGGAGGAGGGAAGAAAGCCTCCATGATGATAGCGCTTTTCTCAGCATTGGTGGTTGCTTCTGTTTCGCTGCCATCTGGTTGCTTGACGACAAGGGTGGGAATACGCGACTTCCCCCCATCGCTGGGTCCAGATGAGACATAGCGGTTGGCGGTCCAGAGGTCGTTGCCCTCAATGTCCTCCAACCAGTCTACCCAGTGTCGTTTCTTGGTGTCGGCTATCTCCTTGGCATATCAATTCTTGAGAGCTTTGTGTTCCAGGTGGCATGGGTGGTCAGGGAGGTCATGCATCTGGTGGGATTTATGGCTGAGTCATCCTACTTGCTGGCGCATGTCAGAGAGGGTGCGCATCCACCAGCGCTTGGAGTGTGGGCAGGGTTTGGATTGGGGTACGCAGACATCCATGGTGGATTTGATGGCCTGCGTGACGGTTCTGGCCAGGAGTTGGAATTCTTCGGCTGATGCGAGTGGGATTGGTGGGGTGGGGGCGAGTGTCGTTCCTAGGATTTCCTTGAATTTTTCCCAGTTGACCTCACGCCAGTTAGGCCGTGGGACATCGTCCTTGTGGGGGATCTCTAGCTCGAGTGTTAGGAGGATAGGTAGGTGGTCAGTCTTCAGGCCTTGTCTGGCTGGGTCGGTGGTGCAAGAAGTCATAGCGTCTAGGGTGCCTTCTGTGCCTAGCACGTTATCCGGCCAGGTCCAGTTGCTGGTACTGGTGGACTGGAGGGTGGGGATGCCACTGGGAAGTAACTGTACCATGCTGTAGTCAGCAATCAAATCAATGAGTGGACGGGAGAGAGGGTAGTTAAAGAGGTGCCGGTTACATATATCTTCCCACATGGGGTGATGGCGGTTGAAATCTCCGAGCCAAAGCATGTGGTCGTCGGCTGTCGGTCAGAGCATAGCGATGTTCTGGCTGAGAAATGCCTCTAAAGCGATTAGGGTATTCTGGTGAGTGCAGTTGTTGTAGATATTAAGAATTGTGCAGATTCTGAAGTCACCGAACAGTTGCACAATGACAACATCAGACGAGGGAAAGGGTATCTGCCGCCAGGTGTTAGTGTCTAGTGAGGAGTTGATGAAGGTGATTGTGCATGAGCGTTCCTGCGGATGCGTAAGATGGTTAGTGGGGTATAGGATGTGCCAGCGGTGACTAGCATGGGTATTACAGAGAAAATTGATGTAAGGTTCCTGAATGACTAAGAGATCATGGTTAATGATATCGCGGCTGTTCATTAGGGATTCTTGGGCCGATAGAGAGGCGTTAAGGCTCTGCTGCCAAATTTTTAAACTGACCGGGGTAGAGGTAGGTTGTTCAGACATTAGAGGGGGGAGTGTTGGGGCCTGTGCTGGGGGTTGAGTATGTGGAAGGGGAGGGAGTTAAAGGGGAGGATGAGGAGGTGGAGGTGGAGGAGGTGGTGGTGGCATTCATTGGTGTCGAAGGGGGGTCTGGGATAATGGGATCGAGTTTGGATTTGGGTGGCTGCGGTCAGGTAATTGGTTGGAAGGTGAGTGTTGATTGTTTGCTGGGGAGGGTCTGGCTAGCATTAGGTGCGGGGGGCGGCGTGTGTGGTTCTACTGATCAGGAGGCGGGGGGACAAGTGGGTGCAGAGATGGGTGGTCTGGGAGAATGGGTCGCTGGAGATGTCGCTGGGGCCCAGGAGGAGCTTGTGGGAAAAAAAGGAAGTTTATTCTCTGGGTAGAGATCGTCCAGGGCTTTGCAGTGGCGAATGAATTCCGGGCATTTGTGGCTCCAGCTGGTGTGACCTTGACTCCTACAGTTCACGCAGTTTTCTGTGTGGAAGGAGTTGCATTGTGCAGTCCAATGATGCCCACTGCAGGTACTGCAGATGTCATGGGGGGAGGAACAGTTGCGAGCCATGTGTCCAAATTTCTGGCATTTAGCGCAGTGAATGGGTTCCTTGCGATCTTTACTGACAGCGTAGCGGAGAGCATCAATGCATAGCCCTTCTTTGAGGATGTTGTTGGCGGTTTCAGCATCCTTGATTTGGAGCAGGGCGAAGGTGGTGCATTGCTCCCTTGTTCGACGTTGAGGGGGCTTGATCCACCGAATAGAGGTGATGGAGTTGGAGGGGAGGAAGTTTTCGGTTTCAATGTGGCGCTTGAAGTCGTCTTGTTCGATGTCGTAGGTGATGAGGAGGAATTGGACGACTATGGCGAATGTCCTGTCATGGATACAGGCCATCGAGTCTAGGTGGGTCTCTAGCAACTTGCGACCTGTAGGGCCTTTGAGCCAACTTGTTAGTTACTTGCTATCTAAATCTATTATCAGTCCTCCGTTGCGGAGGTGTTGTACTGCTCGGACGGTGCCTGTGGGGGCACCATCATTGCATATTTCAGCAAGGATGTCGGAGATCTGCTTGGCTATAGAGGTGTTTGTGGCCTCTGGGGGGAACAGTGAGTGGCCTGTTGTCGGGTCAAGCAGGATCTGTTTGGCACGAAGGGAGGCCCTGGCCACTGCTTTGTCAAAGGAAGGGGGGAGGTGAGCAGCTGCAGCCGAGCTGTATGTGGGGAGGGTTGGGGGAGGCATGGGGGGTTTTGCTTGTGTGAGGGTATTGGGGTGCTGGGCTAGGTGTGAGGTAAGGGTGTTGAGGCGGTCTTGGGTGAACTCCAGAGAGGGGGTGAGTAACTTGTAGGAGTTATTGCAGTCCTCAATCGATTTGTAAAGAGTGTCTACTGCATCTTTGATCCGTTCTGCTGCCGTTTTGAGGTCGTTCTTTTCTTCCTCCTTTTCCTGTTCAAGTGAGTCCCTGAGTTTCGATGAGTGTTCCAATGCATCTCTTATGGTCCCCACTGCAGTGTGAATGGATGCTACTTGTGGGGCGATGGCTGCTATTATGTTATTCACGATGTTGGTTGAGAGGGAGGTTGAGAGTTGTTCAGCTGCGGCTTTGGCGACGACTTCTGCAATTTCAGACACAGCCTGGTGTTTGAGGATGAAGGCTGTCACCCGGATGGCATTGGTGATGGCGAGCGGGATAGGCTTGACCATTTGGGTGATTTGGAACAATATTCCCGCCAAGTGTAGCAGGGTGAGAGGTTCATCAGCTTGGCGTAGAAGGACACTAGCTAGGTACTTCTCTGCAGATTCTAGATTTGTTACTGCACCTGGAAGGGCTTCAATATCATCTTGGTGCAGTTGGTTTCTCGGAGCGGTGGATGTATTACCAGCCAAATTTTTCTTGTCTGTTGGGCTTTTCTTTTTGGACGCCTTTGCTGGCACCATGATCTATGAAGTTAGTATCCAATATTTGTTTTTTAGGGTTTGTAGAGGTTTTCTAGGTGAAGCTGGGATAATTGGTGTCGCCGTTGGGCGGCGTTGGCACCATTGGGCACTGTGTTCTGGTGTGGTGTCTGGGGTTTTGATCCAAGGTGCCACTTAGTGTGAGACTAAGAGGTGATTTCTCCTTGGTCCATTGCCTCACGTTCTGGTGTGCCTGGAATGAGGCATCACTCTTACTTATGCTGCCAAAGAGAAGGCGAAACATCTTCTCAACAAGGAGTCTCGTGAAAAGCTTGAGGAGTTGGGCAAGCAAATAAGCGAGATCACGTCAGTCATAACTTACCCAGCATCGCTCCTCGACTGATGCACACCCCTGGTTGTGTTTGCAGAAAGCTTCTTAAAAAGGGCATGCAATTGCGCAAGCAGCTAGCGCCATTCTCACTAGATCATCATGCCCGCAACATCGGCACCCTCAAATGTGTGGTTCGGGAAGTTGAGGATTTCATGTAGAGGGTTCCTGGCAACATGGAGGAGATGAAAACCAAGTTTTAAGTGGCCTTAAGGGGAATAATCTCGCGATGAGAGGCTTAGAGTGAGCGAGAAACAGGAGCTGATAAGAAAATATATCTCAGTCTTGGGAAACGGACTCGGTAGTACGACTATAGTAGTACCTGATAAGAAAATATATCTAAGGGTATGTTAGCTCTAGTTGTAATGTAAAGCAGGGACTTCGACTTACATCTCAGTCTCGGGAAACAGACTGAGATGTTCGGTCTGACAACTCGCAGTTTTAAGGTAGTTAACATAGTGATAAGTAATAAATTGTAACATAGGAAATAGACAGTTACTTATTAGATTCTGGGACCAACATCACTTCATTGTAGGTTGCGCAGTCGGCTAGTGCTCGCAATGTCTCACTCTGACTTCTCCTGCTTGGACTTTGATCCAGACTTCAACAAATAATCCCAGAGAAGAAGCTAGTACAAAAGGAGAAACCTGCTCTCAACATCCAGGATGTTTAATGATGGTTTGGATATCATGATCTGATATTATTGTATATGTACCAATACATACTACTACAAAATGAACGCTGTTATGAATACAACAAAAGAACAAAATGGAAAATAGGCAAAGTATCTATTCCTCATCACTGGATGTCAGGTATTTGTCATCACTAATCACCTGTTTGTGCCAGCAATCTGAGCCTTGCCCCACTGCGACTGCTCATCCTTGCCCATAGGAATAAGCGCATGGATTCCTGCATTATCACCCACACGTCTATCCAAACAATAGGCGGAGGACTATTCACCAGTTACTATTGAAGCTGCAAACCTACGCATTAGTACAGAGAAAGAAATGACTGCAAGAGACGACGTACATGATTATCTGTGATTGGCAAGTTGAGACCCAAACCACCCAGGAAGGCTATGCTGGCATCAAACAACAGTTTGAGAACTTAAACCAGCACGCAAGGAGTTCGCATGCTGACAATCTAGTGCACATTTTACCTTCCACTAAGGTAGGAGTCGTGTGGATTCTACCTACCTCATGTGACCAATGTGATGAAACAGTGACTGAAGACAAAAATTGTAATTTCTATTGATCAGGTGCCTTCTGCATCAAAAGGCTACTCAGTTACATCGGTAGTAATATTGCAGACATTTTCCATTGATTAGAATCAATAGAAATGGAGTAGAAAGTTTGTAATTCCAATTTCTTAGAATATCAAAAGCTGCTGTTGGCGGAGTGCAAGGTTAAGGTAACATGCACAATACTCCGACATGCTGTGCCATGTTGCCATTGCCATCCTCCCGCCCAATAGCACCATGGGCAACAAAACATGCAGGCAGAAGCACTTGAGAGACAACCTGATGTTAGCACGAGCATCTATAAAAAGGCAAAAGACTTTAGTTCCATGGTCAGTGTTGGAGAATGATGAAAATGTGAGTAATGCACCTTGTAAACAGACTGGACAATCTCAATGTACTTGTATGACCAGACCTCTGCAGTAGTTGCAATAGATGCTAATGCAGTGAAAAAAGCCTCTACATTGTCAACCAGGACAATGGTTGTTGACACGTTCAGCACTGCATATCAACTGGAATTGATCCCATCAAACACTGGAATGAACTTTGATGATCCACACACCAGCAATGACAGGCTTGATGATGTCACAACACCATATCCCCCCTGCATTCTGCATCTTCCATTCAGTAATCTTGAAAATGTGACCTTGGCACACTCCAAGCACACTCAAAAAACAGTCTAATGTGAGGATGCTGACATATACTGTACTCAAGCACCTCCAGTATCACCTGCAAACATCCTCACTGCTGGTCCAACCCCCTGTTTCCCTGTCTGCTCCATCCCTCCTTCTCCGACAAATGCATGAAGTGCATCTCAGTAGGACTAGCCCTGCTACCTCCACCCGACTCCGCTCCACTCCTCCAACACTACCCCTATTTCCTCTGACATCATATCCCTACCATCCGACTCTATCTAGAGCTCTGCTCCTCTGCCCTATTGGTCCGCCCAATCCTACTCCTACTCCCTCCACCATCTCCGCTTTTCCGACCCACTCGGTTCCTCCAGTTCCTCTCGTGTTGCTCTATCCGACCATTGGTCCGCCCAACCACCTCACTGGTTCACCCCTAGACTAGGAACCACTCAACTGGTCCTATCTCCTTTTAGTATCATAGTTCCCCCTTTCGGATCACCAGTAATCCTTATACCCAAGTGATTATTGATCCATCACGTACATACTGTTCTCCGAGCCCCTTTCTCATATGTCTTAGTCATCTTTCTAATAATTCTGTATACTCAACACATAGCCTTCTGCTATGCTATGCTACTTCTTAGAGTATATAAACTTATGTACATTTGTCTGTAGATCTTCAGTCTGAATATTACCTTTTCTAAAACCCTGCTCTCTTGTCCCTGTTCTTGGGCAAAACCCTTGACAATCTGCTGTTTGCCAGCCTAGGGGATTGACTCCCTAGGTCAGCCGCCTTCTCTGACTTCCCATGCCTCCGCCACCTTTCCCGCGCATCGGACTTATGGCTAATACTCTCATACCTCTGTCCTCCATGTTTTCATTCTGCTTTGGACTTCATCCAAGCAGTCACCTCCGCTCCATTCCTACTGTTAGCTCCAACTGCAGTAGCCCTCCGACTCTCCCCTGTAGGGCAGACCAATCTCCACCCAATGTTCCCGCACTCATCCAGTAGTCCATCGGCCCTCCTTTGGAGGACCTCCGCTCCAACATCCTGTCAGAGCTTGTAGAAACTCAAGTTGGACTACAACCCCAAATTAGGGGCACATACTTGGGCAAGGGGCACAGCACACGAGCTGAAGCCAAGCCCCTCAGACTCTGTCTTACCCCTGAGCACGGTCTTAACAGATGCAGAAGATTGTTATGTGAAACCTCTCGGATGAGATCCGGCAGCGCTAAACCCGCAAGGGGCGTTCAAAGTGTGGCCTTCGGCACTAGCCCAGCAAGGAGCTTGCCTGCGCTAAGTCTAAGTAAGGGTTGAAGCCCTTACTTGCATAGAGTCAATTGGAGTTTCTTGAGGATACGATCCAAGAGATGGGGTTCAACTCAAGAGTATCGTCTCAAGAGAAGATGGTTTCTGTGTACAGAGGGAGTCCTCTTAGATAAGAGAAGTTCAGACCCAACAACAAGATCAGATGAGAACCGAGTAGATTCAAGTTAGAGAATCTATCTACAGTACAAGTGAGATATATATATGTAAGGGTGATATACTGGTGGAATGGTAAGGGTACAGGGTAAGCGGAAGCAATACCGAGTCAGTGGTAAGGGTCAAGGGTTGTGTGAGTCATAAGTAAAAAGAGGTAAGAAGTACCGGTTGAACGGTAAGGGTAAAGGGCATGGGGAATCCCCATCGATGAGAGAACTGAAACAGTGGATAGGGCATAGGGTTTGGTAGAAGCTGGGGCTTCTCTGATCTAGGGGTAGAAGCGAGAGCTTCTCGCGTTTCAGAACAACAGGATCAAAAGAAAGAGATGGAAATAGAATCGTAACCATGGTCCAGGTCTAGACGAGTCCGAAGAATGAAATGATGCATAACGCTCATGTTACTGTAACAAAGATGAGGATAACCTGATTGCCATTTGTGGAGTGCATTGGCAAGAAAATGATTATCCTCAAACAAGTGTACTCGAGGAAATAGAAGACTTATGAGAAGCTACTGCTATCTCTCACAAATGTTGCAGTTCCCACCAGATGGTTGATGATTCTATTACAGCCATTTGCATAAATGATGACAGTATGTGCCTTTTTGAGAAAGAAGAAGAAATAAATAAATAAATAATCTAACCTAGTATTTCATCTCACACTACAACAATCATTATTGATGTATCAAAACATAAGCCATGATGTTAAACTTGCTGCTGTTAATCTCTACAAGTGTCAACATCTCTCTCTCCATGATATTCTTACATGTGTCAGATTCTCTCTTGGAAAGTACTTTCTGGCGTGTCCTTAGGCTTTGGCGCGAGACAGGCAACATCATTAGCCCCACCTGTAGCCTTTGTGGGCGCCCTTGTGTTCTCCACTGTGATGATGTCCTTTATCTCATCCATCTCATCCATCACCATCCTAGGTGGTTCTTGGATGAACTGCTTGAGCTACTCGATACAAACCATTTCATATCTGTACACTACACCACAATTCATCACAAGCTGGAGCATATTGGTGTTTCCCTCAAAAAGCTCAAACAGATCGCAAAGGAAAGGAACAAGCAGTGGAGAATGGAGTTCACTATTCAGATGAGTCAATATCTACCTGAGGAGATTGGTTTTCTCAATGAGACTTCGACAATACAGAGCAATCTAAACTTCTATGTGAGAATCAGTCCAAATCAGTCCTTCATAGCCCATTGTGTGACAGTGTCTTTCATTGCAGCAATTTTGCCATTCTTGAAACCCATCTCCTTCAGCTCAGAAACAATGATATACCTGATAGTTTGTGTCCCTGTATAGTGTCATATACCTGATCCAACCACTCCAATATTAATATCCACTCTGCTTTCCGACCACCTCTGCTCCATCCATCCTCCGCTCCGTCTAATCACAGTCCGCATTCTGCTCCTACGCCTCTGCTCGACTGCCCAACTGGTCCCCTTCCAGAACGTCTCCATTCAACTGAAACCTCTTTCCCCTTTTAGATATATACTTTCCCCTTCGGTACATAGACCCTTACTTCTGGATCACCGGTGATTCCTCTTACTGCTCGATCACGGATCCAATGCATACATACTGATATCCACTCTGACTTATGTCTTCGCCTGTGTAAGTACTTACAAATTATATCCTTGGTACATAGCTTTACAACATAGTTATTGTAAGGCTGAGGTGAGTTTTAAGGGGAATCGAAAGGATCGATCGAGGAAGGTAGGAAATTGTGAGAGAGGATGGTAGCAAGTCAACTAGAGATCAAACGATGATGCAGACAGTGACATTTTTGACTTTGACGGAATGTTCGGACGGCTGCGAGAATACAGATCACTGAGAGGGAGTTGATTCACTAATTAAACGAGAATTACATGTAACTTTTTATACGGCGGGAGAATGGACAAAGTGCTATCAAAGCGCGAGTAGCAAGAAGAAAGGCAAAGCGAGACGTGAAAGGTGTGGCATAGGTACAAAGAATAATTGGGAACGTGTGGTGATGGTGATAAGGACAAAGGCTAAACATGAATTGATGTAAATATGGACAGAAAAGGAAATAGAAGAGAAGGCAGTGCGTGATATGTCACAGTCATTGAAGGGTTGATTGAAGCAAGCTTTCATCGTTAAAGGCGCAGCCTTTCTTACATTATCCTGGTCACTGCCTCCTACTTAGAAGTATATAACATATCCTGTACTTAGATATTTTCCCCAGTCTTAATATTACTTGTCTTCTTGCAGTTTCTACTTATGAGAATTCTCAGTAGGACCTTGCCTCCTCTGGACACAAGTCTCAACTTGTTGTCACCTCCGACCCTCCAACCCTCTGCTCCAACTTAGAGCCGTGCTCTAAGTCTTCTCCTTACTTCTCTGCTCCTATCAAGTATCCCCCCTGCTCCTTTCCACCTTCTGCATTATCCTCCGCCTTCTCCGCTCCGCTCCTAGTCGGCCTGCCGCTAGTAGCACTTACCTCCTGACCCTCAAAGTGGACCTAAGCAGTTCACTCATTCTATCGTCGGACAATGTCGGACCCGCTCCAAATTCAGGGCATGTACTCGGCTAAGGGCGCAGCGCAAGAGCTGAAGCCAGGCCCCGACTCCTCCGCTTCCTGAGTCAGCATGGTACCTAACATATAGCCATTGTCAGTGAGTTTGGTGAGTATGTCCTGCAAGAGTTCAAATGCAATGCAGAAGTCTGCAAGGGACATGTCTGGACTGGGCCTTGCAGAGACAGAAAGGAGTGGGATGTCAGTGGTGTGTGTATTTGCAATATGGTTTATAGGAGCAGTGGGTAATGGAGGGTTGGGTGCTGCAGCAGGTCGTAGAAAGCTAAAGAAGTCATTTGGAACATTGATTGTTGCAGTGCAAGATGAAATACTAGGTTAGATTATTTATTTCTTCTTCTTTCTCACAAAGGTGCATACTGTTATCATTTATGCAAATGGCTGTAATGATGATGAAACAGATGCTAAAGATGATGAGAGTGATGAGGGAAGTGAGAAGCACAATTACTATTTTGAGTTGCAAAAGCCACCCACTGTCAAGGAAGCTTGCAAAGCTCTTGATGACTTGCAACAACTGCTCAAACCACCGCAGAAAGATCAAACTGGGTATAAAGACCCAAAACTGCCCCCTGTGCTGAAAGAGAGGCTGTCACACATGAAGAGCTTCCTGTGGCTATATGTGGATGTCAGGAAGGATGGTAGAAGTCATTCAGCAAATCCTGTCAGGGACAGTGGCAATATGCTGCTGATAGAGCTGCACGAGATGCACAAGGAGAAAAGAGTACCAAGGGAGATTACATGTCTCACCATCTTCAGCACTGGTCCAAGGCACATATTAGTGACTGAAAAGCATTGCCAATCTGTGACGCACCTTGTAAACTCTTGCAAATTGATAATGAGATTTTAGCATCAGCTGTGAAGGATCATCTTTAAAGCTGTGGCAAATATGTTTGTGCCCAGGACCTTGTTGATTATTCTAATATTCTGGAGAATCAAGCTTTACACAGCTTCAAGAAAGGAATCTCACTCACAACAGCTCAGTAGTGGATGAAGAAACTTGGGTACTGCTGGACAAAGGATCCAAAAGGGCAATATGTCGATAACCATAAACATGAAGATGTTGTTTATTACCAGCAAAATGTTTTCCTCCCAGCATGGATTCATTATCAGCCACAAATGCGAACATGGAAGGAGAATGACATTACTGTTGAGGAGGTTGATGCAACAACAGCAGCTTCTGGTTGCCAAGTGGTGGTATGGTTTTATAACAAGTCAACATTCTATGCAAATGACAGAAGGAAGCAGCACTGGGTTCATGATTCTGAGAGTGCGCTGCCACAGCCCAAAGGGAAGGGTGCTTCCTTGATGGTGACAGACTTCATTTCTGCAGATTATAGATTCCTGTGTTCAAAAGATGGGAGTGAGAATACATGGATACTATTCAGGGCAGGGAAGGCCCGTGATGGCTACTTTACCAATCAGGAGATAGCTGCCCATGCCACAAAAGCAATGAATATCTTGGAGAAAGATTATCCTGATGAAGATCATGTTCTCATTTTTGACAACATAAGCACATACCTGAAGTGGGAAGAAAATGCCTTGTCTGCTTGTACAATGCCTAAACAGCCATCACCTACCTGGGGGGTCTCCATCTTGATCAATGGTCCTGAAGGGAAGCCAGTACTTGAAGCCTTGTGTTGTGCATGAGGCTTCAATGTGATTTTCTTACTGAAATTCAATTGTGAGCTTAATTTTATTGAGCAATGCTGGGGTTTTGCAAAGTGGATATACTGGATGAAGGATAGCTCTTCCTCAGCTGCTGTGCTTAAGAAGAATGTTATTGCCTTACTAAATGCAGCACCAATGTTATATCAATGACTTATTGATTAGACTTCTGACAAGAATTCCCAGGCTTCTTTTGCAAAAATTGTAAATGTTGTCACATCTATTTTGCAGCATCAACCTTTCAAGATACCCAAAATAACCCATCCTTTACCTATACTGCTACTACACCCTATATGTACTCATTCTGCATACCTTGGTGCTGATGTGATCAGTTCCTTCCTGCTTGATCAAGGCAACCATCATATGAGGCCTCATCAAGTTTGGGCACTTTTGTTAATGCCAGCCCAGTATCAAGTAGCAGACACAGTCACAAATGAGGCTACACAGAGCATCATTTCACAAACAATTAGGTAGAAATTGTCACCATTAACTTGGATAGTATCTTGCTGAACTTCACCTGGTAGTAATTTTGATGCTGGGATTGCAGTGCTCAAGGTGTCCCATACATTTTTCAAAGGCACTCTGTTCTGAGCATGTACATTTATTGCTGGTCTGTATGAGGGGAGGCCAATTGTTCTCAGGTATGCAACCCCATCTGCTAAGTATATATCATCTTTCTGGTTTCATTGTTAGCAATTTTTCAGGGTAGAAGATGATAAAACATCACTTCCCAAGGATATTGCGCATTCACTAACCACTTTCCTCACTGAATCCTTGAAAAACTCTGAAGACAACTGGCCAACATCCTCCAATGATGCTGGCTTCACAAGTGATGATGATGGCTATGATGAACTTGAAGAAAGTGAGGCTGAAAAGTGGCCGGTACAACAAATCATGGAGCTGGCTGAAAACAACCAGGATGTCCTAGATACCTTACCAGGTAAGTCTAATATAGCCCCCATTGAAGTGACAGGTGGCACAACCACTATTATTTAGGTGACCAGGACATTGATGCAGTCATTTGCAAAATTGGCACACTGGCTGTTGCTGATGGTAGGATCATTCCTATAGGACTTCTGAAGCAGCCTGACCCTAGAGTAAAGAGCAACCAATGGAAGAGGGCATACCTGCCAGCACTTCCTGTGGATCTGGAGCCAAAGATCAGGTGAAATTGCAAGCCACTGCATCCCAGCCATGCTTGCCCACTGCTCCACCTCGTTGCCTCATGACAGGATATAACAGAAAGCTTTACACTTCGTTCTGCACCTGAACTATTGCTACACACTCTACACACATAATCACAGAACTATTTTCAATCACACTTTATGTGCAGTGAACTATGGGTGAATTCAGTGAAATGTCACACTAAAGTCATATGATGAACCAGAGTATGACTCAGTGCAAGGGACAGAAAGCCGGAATAAGTCATTGCAAAGAGATGGGAAGGAATTCAATGTTGTCCTGATATGCTGTTATATGCCTGAAACAGCAACTGTGCATTGGTACCTTAAAAGAGCAAAAATACTCTACCCAGCCTTCAAGGTGGCAGTAGTGATCAGCGACAAAGTCAAAAGTTTAACAAACTTACTAGTTGACACCTCAAAAAGCGAAAATAATCTATGATTATGAGGGATGTAGATTCCTAAGACCCCTGTGCCTCACTGTGGACATAGATAGAGTCACCTTACATGTTAGTGTTAAGGTTGTGCTCAAGGGGAGGAGAACTTAAAGGGCTTGACTTCAGCTTGTGCGCTGTGCCCCTTACCCAAATATGTGCCTTTAATTTCTGAGAGGTAGGAGAGAAGTCTGATGAAGTCCAGGAAGTCCAGAGGTCAGATGCAGGGGGAGTTCAGTGGAACTAAAGTAAGGCTACTATGAAAAAGTCCGAAGTAGAAATGGAATGAAGGTAGACTACCCTAAGGTAGAGCCAGAGATATAGTTTAAGGGATAAACCCAAAGACTGAGAGATGGACAGGAGGTAAGACTAAAGTCTGGAGAAACAGAAATGAGCAGGAACTAAGATGATATTCAAACTAAGGAGGCATGGAGTTTTATAGGAGTTTATATACTGTAGGTATCAAGTAAGTAATCAGTCATCATAGTGAAAAACTATGTATGAGGCATGTGGAAAGTCTATTAGTAAGTATATAACAGATCAATGAAATGGAGTTGGGAATGAATGCAGAGAGATGAATCAGTAAGCAAGGCGGAAAAGTGTATAACCAGTAGCCAGAGAGTAGTAAACTAAAAGGAGATGAGTATAAGGTTGGGTTTAGACCTGGAGATGAAACTGGAGCACCAGACAGAAAACAGGGTGGAAGTCTGGGTTTTACAGGGGAGAATCCAGAGTTCCAGGTTTGGACATGTGGGATATAACAGTTAGTAACCTTACAAAAGTGAAAATAATTTATTTGGCCTTCATCCAGGATTGCTTAGTACAAGACAAGCAGAAAGACATAAAAATGTGGAAAAAAAATCTAGCCAACACCCAACTGGGCATGTACAGCCCAGAAACTCTCTCATGTACAGAAAGAGTGGGAGTAACCCCATCATGTAGACTTCTTAAAGTACAACAGAAGTGTGCCTCTCCATACAGAGAGGCGTCTACATGACAGTTGAAGCACCTGCATCCTATCAACCCAAATAATGAAGTATGGCTTGCTAATGGATTGGGATTCATTGTGGGAAAGGAAAGGTACCAGAAGAATCTTATAGTAGCTACTGATACTTTGAAAAAGTTGAGCTGCAACAACCATTGAGCTGTCAATCGAGCAAATGCAGCTTGGCACAAGCTGGAGTCCACTGGGATGGGGGGGGGGTTGGCCTGAGCCCAACATGGTTGCTTTGTCCCTCACTCAATCATAGATTTTCAGAAAGGAGAAAGGTTAGTTGCATACACCATTCAATGTCCTAGAACTAACCATGAATCAATTTCAGACAGATGAACATGGACTATGCCCTTTGTAAGGCTGTGTGATACAACATGAAAGGCATCACCAAGGTTGTCACCTTCTACAACATCAATTGTCAAGCTTCAGAAATACCAACCCCTCCTCTGGGAACAGCTGAAAGTCAGCACTGCAATTGGTGATCCAAATGCCCAAGATGATCTGACCCAACTGATGTGAAGTTTACTGAGTTCATTGGCTTCAGGCAAAGGCCCTAAGGGATTGATGGATTGAAGAACTTATGGTGGTGCTACTGGAGATGGACTGGACATGTAGGGGCTTTGGGGTTATGCCTGCTACTCAGTAAGACAATCCCAAATGTACTCATTACTGGCACAAGATGCACAGGCAGCCTTTCAAGATCTCACAATGATGCCAATAAATACTGCAGATGAATAAATATTGACTACCAAGGATGCCCAGCATCCATCCTGACAATGCCAATGTGAATAATTGTGTGGCCCAGTATTTGGTTATGTCACAGAAATGATAGCAGAGTTTGAACATGTCATCCATCCATCAGCTGCTCATACATACATCTACACCCTGAACAACTGTTATTATCATTGCCACTGCTCTAATCTTGTGTTGGACATGCCTGACTTACATTCAAGTCCTCCATCAACTCCTGCCAGTGATCATGAACATCTTGAATATTGACCTATCAGTCTCAGCACAGCAGATATTGCACCTACATTTGTGATGGTTGCATCACGTATCTGAGGATGTGTAGCTCGATATCAGAGGGAGGCAGCTGAAATGGACTTGCCATCCTCTCAAATCACCTACTTTAAAACCGGGCTTCAATGGGAGATCTCAGTGAGCAAAGTGAATGATGGCTACATTATAGTCAATGCTGACATCACTGATAGACTTTTGTGACACTGGTCCTGCAGTATTCAGCTGCACACAGCATCATTTCAGTAATGCTGATCCCAGTTGCTCATATGCTGCTCTTAATTCTCCAGCAAACATGGGCCAAGGTTCCGGACCATATTTTCATAGCCCACCTTGCTTGGTTTCATGATTGCACAGATCCTGGTGATCCCTCATACATCATTTGGATTATGATACTCAGTGGTGGATAGGGCACACCACAATTCTGAATGAACCATAATAATGAAATAGGGTGATGGAGTGCTGTGGATTCCACTATGAGCATGATTTCCATGACAGTTGATGAATCAAGACATCTAGGTGGTGTTGAGGATGATAGTCTGATTCTTCCCGAGAGGGTGGATCAAACCTCAGTCCCATTGCTTATGGGACTTTAATGGATTTGAGAACACTTGCTGACATTGATTGAAGAACAGTGGGAGGGTATCCAAGATAAGATGGGTGAGATACAAATGTACACTGGTATCTTTACCCAATTGCAGAGAGCCAGGGGTGTGTGTAACACTGGATTGCAGGATTGATCAGGATTATGATTATTCTTGGCTGCATCAGATCCATAGGATGGTAGCAAGGCTTGAGCATGTCAATATGTATATCCCATAGACAGTTTTGAATATAGAGAGTCACCGAGTCCCATGTATTGAGTGGGCACCGAGGACCAAGCCTTCAGCACTGTTTACCAAGGACTAAGGGCTCCTGGTCCCTGGTGCTTGGTAGTGAATACTGGCATGGAATCACTCAAGACCAAATATCCAGGTGCTTGATGCTTGGTGCTTGGTGCTTGGTGCTTGGTGCTTGGCACTCAACACTGAAGACTTGGTATGAATGCTTGGTACTTGGTGGGTACTTGGTACCTACTCAATACATAGTATTTAGTATATAATCCTGAATATCCTGGTATTTAGTATGGAGAATCAACTATATGGTACCCCCTCAAAATACTGAATATCTCAGCACTCCTCTGTACTGAATGCCCAGTCCTCAGTACCTCTTTGATACTCAATACTTGGTATTTGGTCCTCAGTATTCAATAATAAGATAATGTATTATATTACTCTATCTGATCCTTGCAATCTCCACCACACCAGATCTGATATTCCCCCTAAGGCCAAAGTGTAGACATCATCTAGTACTCACCATTGGATTTTCCACAATCAAATACATCCCTTCATTATGAATGTGTCCTTAGACTCTGAGATTGTGATATCCTTCTGGATCACTTGGGCCCTGACAGTCACTCATGATGTGAGTGAATATACAGAACAAAAATTCAATGTGGACAAGACAGGAGGGGACCTAGTCATACTTTCTCACTTAGACATAGATCTGGTGATGGCTTGTGATCAATTAATTGATCACCTTATAAAAGCATATCACAATCCCAGTGAGTTAGAATGTAAATTCAGATCTTCCATTTGATCATTCAAATTCATCAATCACAGTTCAGATGCAGATTTATATTGTAAGATACAGCAAATTGATCTCCCCAAAGGACACTGGACATAATGAAGAGAGAGAGAAGAAGTTGCTTGACATACCTGCCACAGTTCTCCATGTCACTGGTGCCATCATTGTGTGGTATCTCCCAGGTGCACTGATGGACATCATTTAGGTATTTCAGATCCCTTATCACCCGATAGACACTGAATACTCCAACTTTGACTGTTGTATCAACGAAAAATGATCTAATGTGAAGGCTCTGTGAGGTTGGGCTGAGTCTGAGCATTAGCTCGGGCTGGACGCTGAATGGTTGAGCCGCTTACCCCAATGCTGGTGAGCTCCAACTGTGGCTGATCTCAGCAGCCAAACCCAACAGAGCGAGCTAGCTTATGATTGGCTCGTGTGGTTATTTGCTAGGCCACCGAGGTGCTGTGTTACTGTCATATACTGGATCCGAGCACCCCCAATACCACCTGTGAACATCCCTACCACTAGTCTGACCCCCTGTTTCCCCGTCCACTCCATCCCTCCTTCTCCGACAATGCACGAAGTGCATCTCAGCAGGACTAGCCCTGCTACCCCCGCCCAACTCTATTCCACTCCTCCGATACTACCCCTATTTTCTCCGACACTATTCCATACCTCCAGATCCGGAATTCTGGATTCTCCCCTATGAAAGTCCGGTTCTCTGTCCTGTTGTCCACCTGGCGCTCCGCCTTCATCTCTGGACTTACACTTATCTCCTTTTAGAATACTATTGCTCCAGCTACCGGTTATGTCCTTTCCGCTTTGCTTACTGATCCGTCCGTTTGTACTTCATCTCCGACTTCACTGCTTTGATCTGTTATGCACTTACTAATAGACTTTCCACATGCTTCGTACATAGCTTCTACTTTGCTGACTGATTACTTACATGATACCTACAGTATATAAACTCCTGTAAAACTCCGGAACTCCTTAGTTCAAATATCACCTTAGTTCCTGCTCATTCCTGTACCTCTGGACTTGAGCTTGTCTCTTGTCAATCTCCAAGTCTTAGGATTGATTCCTTTGACTATACCTCCAACTCTCCATCTTAGTTCTGCTCATTCCTGCAATCTCCGGACTTGAGTCTCATCTCTTGTCCACCTCCAAGTCTTAGGGGTTAAACCTTAGGACTACTTCTCCGGCTCTACCTTAGGGTAGTCTAACCTCTGTTCTATTTCTACTCCGGACTTTTGTAGTAGCCTTACTCCATTCCCACATAGTCTTCTGGAGTTCTGCCGAACTCCACCGATGTTTGTCCTTTGGAACTCCCCCGGACTTCCATTGGACTTCCCCTCTGCCCACCAGAAATTAAGGGCACATACTCGGGTAAGGGGCGCAGCACACAAGCTGAAGCTGAAGCCGAAGCCCTTTGAGTAGTCTTTCCCTTGAGCATGACCTTAACAGTTGCGACTTGCTTGAATGCTCTGATGTAAGTCTTGTATGCTAGGGATTTCCATTGACCAGCTATGTGCACTATCTCCAAGTCTACTTTGTTAGCGAGGTAGAACGAGGCACCACCAATTCTGAATGAATGTCCAAAAGTCGTTCCCCAATTCCAGGCAGTCAATATGCTGTTGATTCTTTCGATGGTGCGAGTCTTGACCATTGGGTGAATGAGCCCTTTGCTGTCCCTCCATGAGAATAATGGGTCGTCCGGTAGTGCTGGGATGACCTCTGCTAAATTCCACAGTGCTTGGATCGGGCAGAGCTCCCCTTGTTCCATGATGAAGATGGATTGAGTTTCTCCCGACTTTGCTGTCTTGGCTCGTGGTAGATCGAGCCTGGCATAAGGCTTCCCGGTCAGATCGAATCCAAGGTGAACGTCTTTTCGTGTGATGTGTTTCGATTTGTTGAAACTCACATGAGCATTGACTGCAACTTTCCTGAATTGCATCATTTCAAAGAAGGCGCAGCTGGACATTGCCCATATGCACGCATTGAATGGCTGATCTGTCCATAGGTTGGCTTTGATGGCGGTTAGCATATGGAGTGTGATTGGGGGTCTGACTGGTCTGCGGCATGTTCCTTGCAAGTTCTCCATCCTGCCAAGTGACCAGTTTATCCGTGTGAAATGTTCTGGTGATAGCGGAGGTGGCCATCCTTGTGCCAGATGCCAGGCATGGATTGTGGAAAGGTACTTTCTTGCAACTGACACAGAAACTGGCTCGAAGGGCACTGTTTCAGTTGTTGCTGACTTCAGGAATAGTTCTGCTGTGGAGGGGTCAGAAACAGCCCAAAGGGCGAATGAGTGCAGTAATTTGAATGATGCTGGCAGACAGTTGGCTTTTGGAATGGGGAAGATGTTGCAGAATACATGGAATTTTCTCAAGCCCAATCCGTAGCTAGTCGTTTCTCGTAGCAAGGCTTGGTTGGAGATGTTGGTGAGGAATTGTATGATAGTGTGTTCAATTGTGGATGATGGTGGCGTGTTGATGCCGAGCCAGCGGAAAATGCGTTCTTTGGCTGCGCAGGAGGGGCAGAGCGGTGACATTTGAAGGGATAATAAATCTTGGGGTGCAGGGGGTGTGGGCTCAGCTGATGAGGAGGTTAAGCTGTAACAAACGACATCTTGTCGCTGAGATGCAATGGGAATGGAAAGTCAGTCTTGAATGATGGGCCAGAAGAACTGCCTAGAAAGGCTCATATGTTGCCACGCGAGAGTGGATCTGAGATGTTGATTTGTCCGGTGTGGGTTTCGGTTGCTACTGCGGTATCAGTGCAACTGTGGCCGATTCAAGTGCGTTCGACCCTATAGGGGAAGCAGTGCAATGCAAACCACCAACAACAAGTCGTATTGTCCAACCTAATAGTCGATGCCAATGCTGATGCCAATGCCAATGCTGACTTGGCCGAGTGAAGTTGAGCGAAGAGAGAGTGAAACTGAGCAAAGTGGAGCGGCCCTGAGTGGACCCAAGTGATGAATGAGTGGAATAGAGGAGGTGTGTGTGTAGTACAATGAGCGAATGTCTAAGAGAGTCGGCCAACGACTCAATGAGAAATCACACAAGAAATTGTTCCAAGTGAGAATTTGCTAGAGAAACTACTAAGAACATGGGTGGAATATATAGTAAATGAGACTAAGCGATGAAGGGGAACCTCGGGTCACTTAAGATGCCTCATGGATTGCTAAATACTTGTTTCTCTGTGTCCATGTAATAAGGTGTGAGGTGGGGTGATAAAAGGCTGATAAGCGGTCCGATTATGCGAATGGGGATGGAAAGCGATGAAAGTAAGTGACATATGTACCAGTAGACGATGGGCCAATGACATGAGACGATGGATAGTGACTGATTGCATGTGCAGACGATGTCTGACTTGGATCGAGTGCGACCGACTGGGTCGATTGTCGGCCAACGTTGATGTGGAGCAGCAGCGCGGGAAAGTGGGTTGGAGAGGATCGGAAAGATAGGGGATACTAGCTCAGTAGCGATCGGCTTCCTACACTGGGTACATGCTCGATCTTGAGGTGGATGCCATGGTGCGCCTATGGCAAGATAAGTAAGCTTGTCGAGAATCATGCCTGCTGGTCTTACCTGCAGCAAATAGATCTCTTTGAGGACAATGTTCATTGACTGGTTGCGTGAGCGGCCCTTGTTTATCGCCATGACTACTCTAGCATTGTCTGAATGGACTAGAATGGACTGGCCTCTCACGTCAGCTTGCTCAGATAGCCACAGATGGAGGACCAGCCTCAAACCCAGCTCCATTTCCATGCCGCCCAATGCTGGCCGATTACGACGCCTACTCCAAAAGACGTACTCATGTTGCCCCACCAATGGAGGTCAATTGGATGCTGGGTGTGCAGAAGCCTTTCGTGTGGCAAGACTGACAGGATTTCCATTGCCCACTGTAAATTGGCAGTTAGCGCACTCAATATGTGGAGTCACACTTGTCGTGATTTGAACTTGTTGGCGAAAAGGGCCACTGAGCGAAGGAAGGGGCGAATTAGTGGGAATATTGATGATATATGTACTAGCTTGCCGTGCAAGCTTGCTTCTTCGTTTGCCGTGAAATGTGCGCCCTTTGCAAGCCATGATTGCATCAGTGCTAAGGTTTTCTCCATTTTCTCTTCTGGGAGTGAGACTGTTCTTCGTGATAAGTCCCAGTCGAATCCGATATAATGTTGGATTGCTGTGAAGGTCTGCAGTTTCTCTAAGCTCCACAGTACTCCAAAGATGGCTGACAACCTGATGAAATCTTCTTCCATCCAATCCTGGTGCGGGAGGCGGATGACAAAGAAGTCATCTACCCATTTTTGAATTGGGCCGAACCTGGCCTTCTCGTATATGGCCACTAACATGTCTGCTACTGAGCTGAAGACTCCTGTGCTTGAGCTTAAACTGAACATAAGGGTGCGATCAACGTAAACACGATTGCGCCATAGAATGCATAGGGCCCATTGTTGGCTGGGGTGAATGGGTATAATCCGGTATGCTGATGCAATGTCGAACGTTGCTGTGACGCATCCGTCTGGTAGCAAGAGAATTAACTCTACTACACTGTCGAATGTGCCCCATTCTGTTGGGAATGAGTCTGGGTCTATGCCTGTGTTGACGGAGGGATTCTCGGGGTTGTTGCGTGGGTATGACATGTCTTGAACGAGTCTGAATTTCATAGAGTGTGGCTTTGGTACAAGGCCGAGTGGTGATGTGCAAAAAGGGCTGATTAAGGATTCTAGTTCCAAGATTGAGTAGGCACAAGAGTAACACCCAGCATTCTGCTCACTGATTATATATTGGTCTATGATGTCACTGTTGAGTTGTGAAGATGCGTGGTTCTTGAAAGGTTAGTGTTGTTTTCGGTGTTTCTCTGACTCCTACGTCAAAGCCTTCCTTGATGTTGAATATCATATGTCCCCATTCTTCATATATATTATATTCATATAGTAGCTCTTCAAGCTTTGGTGCAATGAGGGGTGTGACCACCTGCCTAGGATCTAGGCCAGGTTGCTCTGCAAGTTCCTGCGCCATGGGCAATGTCTCTGCAGATGCTGCACCCGTGGTAGTTGATGCATGCATTGGCGAAGTGGCAACTGGAGAATCTTGCCCAGCCAATGCAGAAAATCTTTCCGCCTGGGACTGCGAGGGCGTGTACACTCTTAGCTGAGGCTGCGATTTGGGCCACTGGATGCCCAGTGACGGTTGACTCTGCCGTGCAGTCACCTGGTAAGTGGTCTGCTCCTCCACACCGAAAGCACTGAAGTCTGGCCTTCTTCTTTGGTGGTTGTTGAAATGGCGATGAGGATGGCAGTGATAATCTCTTAAGCTGTGCTTGACTATATGATGCAGTGATAGTGGGTTGCCTGGTTACTATGCGAGTTGCGATGATCGTCAGCACCTTGTCATCTAGCTGAGAAAGGTCATGTTGTGGATGTTGTGCTACCATTTCGTGTTGCTGGATGTCATATTCGACTGCGACATCCCATGAGTGGGAGCGGCTCAGCCCCAGAACCACACTGTGGTGTGCCTTCAGTGCTTTCGCACATGCAGCCCCGTGGTAGTGATCTGTGTGTTCCTCTGCCGCATTGGCTGCTCCAATCCAGTCTGACAGCATGATGCTTCTCTTGTTCTGGCGATCGAGTCCTTTGACCATCAGCGAGCCTGATGCAGAGATGGTGAAGGCTTCTTCACCGCTCCTAATTGCTTGCCATTGAGCCAACAAGGTGAGCGTGCTATACAGTACGTACTTGAAGGCTTTGAAAGCCTCGTCTACTTTGGGTGGAATGGCTATAACAACAAGCTTGGTATTAGCTCTCAAATTTCTCATCATTGGTGGGTGCATGGGCTGGACTCGTCCATGCCCATACATGCAGTGAAAATAGAAATTGTGGCAGCATTTAGCCCCAGACCACTTTATGGTTGGAAAAACAAGCTTGGCCTGCTGCCTGACGTAGCGTGTGGGTCATGTTCAGCAACTGAGCCTATCACTCTATTAAACTCACACTGGCCTTCAGCTCAGTGTTGGCGTCGAGTGCACCTGGGTGCACAGCTGTATCTGCATGCCTTGGGTTGGGTGGGTAGGACCCAAGGCACTGATCACTGCTTCCTTGGTGCGTGTAGTGCAAGGCTTCTAAACTGGCAATAATGAGAGAGTGATCCTCACCGGTGTTGAGGGGGTTTGCTTTGTAGCCTGGTACCACGTTAGGGAGAGAGACCTTGGGCTCGTCTTTCTTGGCTGCGATGATGGTGGCCCTTGCCCTCTCTATTTCTTCTGGTGACACGAATAGCGTGGGGTTGGTTGCCTTGGAGGGCAGCTCCACAGGCTGTGTGATCCTTGCTGCTTGCTCTTGCTCAAGCTGAGCAACCCAGGCGAGCAGCGCTGCTACGTCCGCCATCTACTGTGTCAGTGCTGCAGCGGGTGGGGTCTGAGGATTTGGTGCGGATGGTGTGATGACCGGTGCTGGCTGCTTTGGAGCTGCTTGCTTAGCTGACAGCTTAGCCACTGGTTTGGCTGTGGCTTTGGCTGGTGCACCGGGCAGAGGCGTTACTCTGGGTGTGCTGCCTTGGGGTGCTGTTGCGTCCTCTGTGTTGGCACTGACACTTACGATTCTGGCTGACTACCTCATTGCTGCCATTCTGGTGCGAGCTGTGCCTCAGCCTAGTTCTGCTGGAGGTTCTGTGGCGTCAGGTGGAGGTTGCAGTTCTCAAGGTGCGGCTGGTCCTGAAGAACTAGCTTGAGGCATTGGCAAGCTTGGAAGATGCAGGTTTAGGTGCTGGTGGGTCATCAATTGGACAGATAAGGTCGGTCGAGTAGGATGAGATTAAAATGGAAGGAAAGTGATAATGTATGATATGATATTATGAATACAATGGGACGAGTAAATGAGAGGATAGTAATGGATATTCTGATATGCGGATACTAAGATTTGAATAGCAATAAGAAAGTAAAGACCAAGTGTCACGCTCAGTTGGACACATGGTGCTGACTCTCCGGCAGGCTCCGAATCAGCACCTTGTCATTGAATATACTACAGGAAGAAATTTGGAAGGCCTTGCAATTGCTGACTCCCATATTTGAAAAAAAAAAAGTGTAAAAGTCAGCAGCAGTTGACAAACTAATCAAGAGTGGTTCAATCAAGGCTCTGGGAATGGTGACATCACTGCCAGATGCATAAATCTATCCCTGGCTTGGTTTCAACAGGGGCATGAGGTGGGATGCAATGACATGCTGATGTTCCTTGGTAGTTAAACTCACCAATCCATTAGACTGTGTCAGACCTGGAAGTATCTGCTTCATTGAAGGGTCCACACTCCACAGATATCCTCAAAGCTATTGTGAGGCCAGCAGCTATCACATCAGCTGCACTCAGAGTCATGCATCCTTGACAGTACTGGGCAGGTATGCAAGCCTTAGTGAGTCAGCAGAAAGCAAGAATCTTCTGAACATGTCAGAGACCCTCAAGCTCTGGGCCTTCATTTTTAATACTCTCTCTGTCATTTCTAATTGGCAAACCCCCTACCATTGAGACCACTTATCCTCTCCCAAGTGATTTGATATTCTCACAACTGTGGGGAATTATTCTAATGCTTGCATGAGCATGCCAGCCTTCAGCTGGAGTTCATGTATGATCCCAGCATCATGATTGGGTTGCTTGGGCATGCAATTTTTAAGTATGACTACAGAGGAAAACATACAAGTTGGAGTGGATATCAATATGTATGTGACAGATCAGTAATCAGGCAGCTATAAAAATAACCAGTGATCCAAGAAGTAAGAGCTATGTACCAAAGGGGAAAGTATATACCTAAATGGGGAAAGAGGTTCTATTTGAATGGAACCTATGTGGAAGGTAACCAACGAGGTGGTCAAGCGGGAGCATAGGAGTGGATGTGGGAACTGAATAGGTTGAGCAGAGACAAGCAAAGCAGAAGCATGAGGAGAGTGGGATGCTATAGAGTTGGGTGGAGCAGATATCAATAATGTCAGAGTGGTCGGATCTGGTATACGACAGGGCCCCTCATCAGCTTGGATAACCAGAGTTGGTGGGAAAAAATTCTAAAGATGGTGGATCAGCAGGAGGAGGTCAATACTCAATAGATAGCACAACAGAGAGCTCATCCTACTGACCTATGCTCCCAACATTTTGAATATGCTAATGAAGGGATGTTAGGAACTGCATTCTTAAGTCCATATACCTAAAAAATAAAACATGTGGAGCACTTTTTATAGCACTATGTCCTCTTGAAGGAAGACAACTTGAATGTCACAGCACCACAAGGAATTGCCCTGATGTCCTGACTCTGATCTATCTTGTTTAGAACAAGTTTGACTTCTACCTGATGGTCAGACAGTCAGACACCAACCTTTTCTACTCTTCTCTCCAAGCTTTCAAGTTGTGCACTATGAGTTAGTGTGGTGTTATACTACTAGTATTTGTTTTGACTAGGTGACCCCTGTTCTCATCTCAGTGTTTCCAGGAAATCAGACATTCCCTCTTTGATACTTACTATAGTACTTCAATGTATCCAGGATTTGCCAGTGCTGTGGTCAGATTGCCCAGGAGGTATTCTAAAGAATGGTTCAAAGCCACTCTAGCATGCTGTGAGTATAACAACATACTGAGCAGAATCAGCTTGAGCAGCTGATCCAGAATGATATAATATGTTGGGTCTTGCTATACCTAGCTGCTATGTCTCGAGTGACAATGTTTGACCCTAAAGGGGAAGTAGTGCAATACAAGTGTGCCAAACTGCAGCATCATACCTGTCTAGTTGCTGCTGTGCAACATATGCCATGTGTGTGTTGATGTCTGATGTGTGTATTGTCAATGTGCCATTACTGAGGTCTGTGTGCAGGGTATTGACTATGTGCCCTAGGAGCAATTCTTTGGGTGAGAATTTCAGAGCTGGAAGAATGCAATGATTGAGAGCCATGATTGCATCATCCAAATGATTGGGCCAATTGAGAGGAAGGTTGTCCCATGTGAGCATCTCCTTGTCTTCCCCAAGATTCAGTGCACACAGTCATTTGAGTATGTGCAGCAGGATCTTATTGGTTCCTTCAACTAGACCATTAATTTATGGTGAGTACGTAGCTACCATGTGTGTGTCACAAGTCCATTTAGCACAATAATCTTTCACTTTGGTATCATTGAAATGTCATCTGCCATTGGACATGAAAGTTTCTGCAGCTGTGAAATTGCAGAAAATGTGTCCCAAGCTATCCTTGGTTGTCTTTGCAGTCCCCGTGGTCTTGTACTTGAAGGCTCACACATATTGTGAGAAGTTGTCAAGGTACACTCCTAGAGTGTGGAATCCTCTGGCCTTGGGCAATGTAAGGTAGTCTCCTACTAGGAGCTTAAAAGGATGGCAATGGATTATGGGTTCTAGTAATGAGTAAACACGCGGCATACCAAAATTCTTGTATTTCACACAGTCACTGATGGCTGCTAAGATTGATGCATCCAATTTCAGGCTGTATATGTGGCCAGTGAGGGTGATTTTGATGACATTGCGTCCCCAATGCCCTCCCTCACTATGTTGCTTGATTGCCAACTCTTTAGCCTCCAACCACATCACACATTCAACTCGACTGTGTGCTCACACCGCTGTTCCTCCTCATATCCTCCACAACTTCTCATTGCAGTGTCGTGCTCTCTTCTGATTTCTGACTTCCTTCCCACAATCCATTTAGAGTATGGCTTTCACAACTTCCAGAAATACTGATTCCTCTGTGAACTGCTGCAACAGCTGCAATGTTGTGGACCCCTCAATACCTGTGGATACTTGGAGTGAGTCATTAACCAGTCCTCAGTTGGCCTCCCAGCCTCACTGATGG